GAGAGAGAGAAAGAGAGAGAGCTGCTACGCGACTACAGCCAGCTTTTCTTAAGAAAGAAGACGGTTCCACTTACTGGCCGAAATACGGCCAGCCGCCTCTATTTACCGGAGACTAAAACCCTTTTCCCCCAATTCCTGTGCAGGAACTCAAAGCAGGGCAACGCATTTATGACTCTTGTTGTAAGAGTTGTATCATAGACTAGCTGACCCGCGCAACTTCGTCTGCGTCTCTCAATAGTAATAAATTTTCTCCGTTTTTGAAACATTCTTCATTGGTGCTCCGTTCCTATTGGTCTTAGCGTGATGATATATAGCCTATAGCCTTCCTCGATAAATGGGCTATCTAACACTGAAAGAATTTTTCAAATCGGACCAGTAGTTCCTGAGATTAGCGCGTTCAAACGAACAAACAAACAAACTCTTCAGCTTTATAATATTAGTATAGATTTTGAATGGGTTTGATTTTTGTTAAATTTATTTGGTTACTATTTGACAAAACAGAGATTGTTGCTTTTGTGTGTGTTGATCTATGACTTTAAAGTCTACATGGAAGACGATTTCAAACAATTTTGGAAATTTTAATGAAATAAAGAAAGTTTGAGTTTGAGTAAGTTCCCATGGGCGACGGTAGTCATTTACCTTCACTGACCAGCCTGTCGTTTGCCTGCTATACCATAAAAAATGCCATTCTGCTTATCCGTCAATCCACATCTCATGGAATACAACATTAATTTGGTGACACGTTAGTAACTTACGTTGCAAGGAACGCATTTTAAAAACTAGTATTAAGTTATTATTTCCTCTCTTCATTTTTATATGAACGGTATTTTTTATATAATAGTAATAATCAAGCCTTTTTATTTCCTTTATAAAATTATATTTACAAAAATAGTATGATTGTAGATAAATAACAAAAAAAAACAATTACAATTCTTTTCATTATAGATTCTCACATAAAATTCTTGTCTAAATTCATTTCTATAATTTATATCTCTTTCATTTATTAAAGACCTCTCTATAGAGTGAAGGCCTCCTCTAAATTTCTCCACATAGTTCTGTCCTTACCTTTTGCGTCCTTGCATATATATATATATATATATATATATAAATATTTGTAAATGCTTACATACATTTTTATTCCGTAACATATATGCTGTGTTTAGTTAAAGCTTTGTGCATTCATATCAGTCTTATCTTAATACCACTCCAAGGTTGACCGGTACTAAATGTAATGGCTGCCTTCATGAATACGAACTATGTGAGCGTAATGGATAAAAATGTAATTAAACTTTGTAGTACTTAGTTAAATTATAAAAGCTGAAGAAATTGTTTGGTTAAACGCGCTAATATACGGAACTACTGATTCGAATTGGAAAATTATCTTACTGTTGGGTGGCCTACTTATAGATAGAGGAATCCTATATTTAACATTAAATTACAATCAATAGAAGCCCATTGAAATAACGGGCAAAATTTGTTCCTTTTGAGACCCAAATAAAGTTGCGCGGATGAGCTGGTTTGTTATAAAGTTTATACAACTACCTTTGGTTATCGCGGTAAAAAGTAACATATGTTACTCGCTGATAATGTAGCTTTCTATAGGTCAAAGAATTGTTTAAATTTGTCCTGTAGTTACGGAGCCTGTTCATTACAAACAAACTTATGGTATTAGTAACTTAAAATGGTAACTGTGGGTTATACTTAGGTGATAGACATATCACGCTGGCAGAATACCCGGCGTGGGTGGAACAGAGGCGTGACCTCGTGGCGGCCATCGGGGTGGGAGGTCTCTGGCTCGGTAACATGATTGCGGCCATGTTGCGGAGCGAGAGTGCGTGGAACTCCGCGGTCTCCTTCTGCGAGCAAGTTACGCTTGCGAAGGATATGGAAGAGCAGGTCCGGGAGAGCTTTAGAACTCTCCCGGCCCGCTAGGCCCGGGCCAGGTACCCCAGACGACTCAGGTGCCGGAGGTCGCAGAACGACCTCCGTCCTCCATAAGCGCAGGCCTGGGGGTGATAGCTGAGGCCATTTGTCACCCAGGCAAAAGCAGGCCGGAGTGGCGGTGAGACGCGCTGCAGAGCGCGCGCGACCTTTCGGGAGACCTAGGGCCATCTATCCGCGGTAGATGGCCCTAGGTACTTCGGAGTACCAGGGATTTCCTTTCGAGGGTACTCCTGGTTACCCGGCTACTGGTACGATTCGAATCCGACATAGCCACCGGTGGGTGGTATCCAAAGGGATACCCGCACAGAAAAAGAAAGGAGATAGACATATACCATCGCCGACTTTTTTGTAGATCTTTCTAAGTTATACAATTCCGTAGTACATGATTTTGATCTATCTCGTAAGGTTTAGCAAGCGTTCGCAATTTAAGCGTACAGAAACATGTTTTTTTTTTCGACTATACTTTGTAATTCTCGGATTTTTTCTACTATAATATGCATGTATATAATACATGCATATTATAGTAGAGAAAATTAATATAAACCTTCCTTTCGAAACACTCTCTGTTGGTGAAAACCGCATTAAAATCCGTTGCTTAGTTTAAAAGGTCTAAGCGTACAACACAAAGATTTTATTTTATACTAAGTAAAGATAAACACACAGTGTATTTATTTAATTAGTGATATTATTTTGATAGAAGTTTTACTAGGTATGAATTTATTGCAAGTAACTTAATTTCTAAACACTTAGTAACTTTCTTATGTAAATAAATTATACGTTACGAATTTCAATTCCATATACTTTTGATGAACAAGTACGTAGGTATTTCTTATTAGAATAAAATAGTCTTTCTGTCAGTTATATATTAAATTATTATTTTTTTAATGTATTTTTTGTTTTAAATTAAATGTATACCGACGTCCAACGTTGACGCCAGCGTATATACAATACAAGCTTATTTTCTCTACTTTTTTGCTCTTTAAAGAATGGGACCAAAAGGGAAGTATACCTACCCACATAAACAAAACAAATTCTCATAGGTTCATAAATGATAGAGTTTTGAGGTAACTAATATAGACCGCGTGGTGACGGATTAAGAATACAGAGTGTCACCACCCCTATTCATACCGTGGGTGTCGTAAGAAGCGACTAAGGGAAAAAAACTAGGCAGGACAACAGCACTGCAGAGAGAAGGAAAACTTGACACAAACCCTATACCAACCCGTCTGGCCAGCGTGGTATAGTATAGGCCAAAACCTCCTTTCTGAGGAGAGGCCTATGTCCAGCAGTGGACTATTAAAGGCTGTTGATGATGATGATGATTGATGAATATAGAAAAAGATATACAACCGAATTGAGAACGTAGAAACGAAACAGGACTCGCCGCGCGGTGGTGTAGCATTTGACTGCACCGTCAGGGGTCGCGGGTATCGAACCCGCCGTATATGTATGTATTCACGTATGTTAATCTGTTCAAAATCCATAGTGAAAACCACAATTTGATATTTTTTACGACCTAAGGGGACAAACGAGCAGACGGTTCACCAGATGGTAAGTGTATATAAATCCCACGAGTACGTTGGCGCTTTGTGAATCCCTCCCCCAATCTGGGGGGGTATGAGCTCTGGTAACCTCAATCACGGAATCAACGAAAGAATTGCTTAACTCACTCGAGTCGAGCTATCATAGCATGGTCATTTAATGTCCATAAACCAAAACTATCAGAGTGCGTCATGACGACAATACAAACAAACTTTAATGTTTATGTTATTCACTGATAATATTATCTTCTATCTGTACAATAAGCTATTTACGGGGTCGTCAACACGTACGTGACGTAATCCTCGAGCTGCAAACACTTCCTGAGCCTACCATAACCGCTTTATTTAGATAAGTAGCATCTTTGTTTCCTACCTGAATAGTATTACGGATAATCGATACTTTTAAAGTTATGTTAACATTTCGAAACTATACTTCGCCTAATCCAAGAGGTACCGTTTGACGTTTCATACTTTTCAAGCTGAAACGCTTTGCGTATTGGCGTAACTCAAACAAAAAAAAACAATTTTAGTAAACTTTCCGTAAAACAATGAAATTATAAAGTTATTTTTATTTTGTCACAAGATATACTATTCTTAATGACTACATTTAAATCAAATTGTAATCGATTAGATTCGATATAATTTCTTTGTATTTAACAAAGAAATGATATCGATATCTTTTAAAATTGGATATTGATGTAGGTAATCGATTTCATTAACCCCCTCCCTATTCTTCAAGCTGTCAGAACTGTCAAACAGTACCTCTTCGATTAGATGGACTGTATCCATCGCACTTGACATTGGCAGAATTGTCGACATCGGCACAGTTTGCCATATAATAAGAAGAAGAAGAAGTAGATGGACTGTAGCGACGGGTCTGTTGGTCGTCGGGTTTGATTCCCATCCAGGACAATTGATTATGATGATGAGCACGTTTACTTGTTCTGTCAGTGTGTAATTTATCTATAAACTTATAAGTAGGTATTTATAGCAGTTGTTTATCAGCAGTCTGGTTACTAAAGTGCAGGCTCTGCCTAATTCAGGATCAGATTGCCGTGTGTGAAATGTGTAAAGTTAATATAATAATCAGCCAACTTTAGGTATACTGGGATTCATTCAATTCGTTTTTATAAGACTATAACACTGTCAAAACAATGGAAACCTTTTCATAAAATTGCGCACGATTGCAACATCAATGATTTTCAATCAGTTTGCATTTATGTAGGTACTTAGTACTCATAACACGACCATACATTTCGGCTTTCTTACACGTAACAAACCTTCAGAAAATTCCTTTTACAATATTATTTTCCCAAACGACCACCTGTTGCATTATCCAAACCTTGGAAAACAAGCGCAATCACTGACCATGTCCGATTCGAATATGTTTACAACAACACAGGTGTAACACAATATGACATAAAAAACCACTAAAAACACTTCACCACTGCACTTTGACATCACTTTCATTATAAAAACCAATAAAATACTCGAGAAAATACGTAAAATACTTACTAGACATTATAAATGAGGATTTTGTGTGGTTTAAAACTGTTTAAAATTCTTTTATTATCTAGCCGTTCGCGTTTGGCTGCAGTTCGCAACCGACTGGCCGTGGCGTAATGTTTCCTTCGTCTCGCAGTCGCTGACACCGAGCCGTTATGATGTCATAGCAATACATTAAAATCATACCTAAGTGATGTCATCCATGATTTGTTTGAGATGTTATGAAGGGCGTGGCGCCCAGTTATTTGGAGAAGTTTACCTAACAAATCACTTTATTATTGGATAGGTGTATTAATAGTATCTACCCCGTCAGCATTATGCCGATAGATGTTTCTAAATGTCTGTTATTTTACATGTGTTTTAAATGAAATTAGTGTATGCATGTATATTCGTCTGAGCTATGCTATAAGAACTACAAAAACCGGTCAGGTACGAGTCGAACTCGTGCGCTGAGGGTTCCGTACCTACCTACGTTTGTAAGTAACAAATTTATCTTAATTTTTAACTTTTTTATTTTTTAGAATTATTCCTTTATTTGTGCTGTAAGACGTTTCTTTTTGACAAATTTCGTGATAAACGACTAAACCTTTTATCGTGTTAACTCAGGACCTTGATTTTTATACACCTAGTAGGGACCATAGACCTCAGTATCTATACTAATATTATAAAGCTGAAGAGTTTGTTTGTTTGTTTGTTTGTTTGTTTGAACGCGCTAATCTCAGGAACTACTGGTCCGATTTGAAAAATTCTTTCAGTGTTAGATAGCCCATTTATCGAGGAAGGCTATAGGCTATATATCATCACGCTAAGACTAATAGGAGCGGAGCACCAATGAAGAATGTTTCAAAAACGGAGAAAATTTATTACTATTGTGAGACGCAGACGAAGTTGCGCGGGTCAGCTAGTCTGATATAAATTGCAACTTGCTAGGTCTACTCCTTCCTGAGAAAATCGGTGGTGACACACGGACAGACGGACAAGAAAGTGAGCTTATAAAGGTTCCTTTTTTACCTTTTGAGGTACGGAACCCTAAAAATGAGCAAATACAAAATATCTGTCAGTTCTATTACTCTAATTGACTTCATTATAAGATATTAATTCTTTAGGGTAGGATGGTGCCAGCGGAAAAGTTCGAATTTCATTGTTTGAGTTTAACAGATTTTTGTGTATGGCGTCGTGTAATTGTCTATCACATCATCATCATCATCACATCAACAGCCTTTTATAGTCTACTGCTGGACATAGGCCTCTCCTTAGAAAGAAGGTTTTGGCCTACTTGTCTAATTGTCTATAGTAAGTAAAAATTAAGTAGGACGTGTAATTGTGTGTGGTAAGTAAAAATTAAATTAAAAATGTATAAGACGGTGTCTAACAAACAAACAAAACCAAACAAATTGTATGATTTTTAAGTCCTACCCGTCATTGTCACAAGTGATCATATTTTGAGGAATGTAGTTTTACAACAGATTATGAAAATAGCAGTTCCAAAGTTAGTAGGTAGGTAGTGTTTTTTTCTCGTAATGGAAAGTTTGATCTTGTTTTCATGAACTGTCAGATCTTCCCTTCTTAATTCAAATCAAATCAAATTTATTTTTGCAGATTATTAAGTATTTCGTGACATCAGCATTTCGTTGATCAGTTTACCAACTTAATGTGTGACGTAATTTATAAACCATGGTGTCCATGGGCGGCGGTAGTTGCTTACCATTAGGTGACCCGTCTGCTCGTTTGCCCCCTTATGCCATAAAAAAAACAAATTTCTGTTTACGGTAAAGGTGTATTTCTCGTGGCGAGATCATGGATTTGATCATGATGATGTGGTTAGCCGATCACCATGTAATGATTTCAATGTATACTCGTATTTGACCATAATTATTATTAAAACAGTGAGAAATGAGAAAGTAAACCGTGATTTGAGGTAACGTGGAGTAAAAGGATTAAATAGAATATTATAGAGAAGAGAAAGAATATGTGCATCCCGGCGAAGGCGAATGGGTAACCACCTAAGCTTCTTGCGATATTCAGAAACATGATCATATTTGCGAAGTCCAAATATGAATCTTATGCAAAGATTTTGGAGTCTCTCAAGCTTATTCAATTGGTCTTCAGTAAGATCTAGATAGCTGGCATCAGCATAATCAAGGATGGGGAGAAGAAGGGATTGTACAAGAGCAATTTTGGTTAGAGTAGGTAGAAAGTTGCGTAGACGGCGTAACGACCCTGCAGCGGCAAACATTTTGCGACTCAGCTCTTGTAACTGAGAACCCCAGGATAAGGTACTATCCATGTATATCCCCAGGTTCTTGACCTTATGACTGTACGGAATAGGTGTACCATTGCAAGTAATTTGAGGCAGTTTTGTCCAGTCAATTTTGGAGATCATTCGCGAGCTTCCAATGACAATGACCTGAGTCTTAGTTGGGTTGATTTTCAGGCCGTGGGAGTTGCTCCACCTACATATTTTACCAAGGTCAGCGTTTGTAGTGGCTACAGCATCAGCAAGATTAGCCAGTGAAGCCCTAGCATAGATCTGGAGATCATCCGCGTAAAGGTGGTAGGAAGAAGATAGTTCATTGGTGAGTGTTTATAAAAACAGAAAAAAGTAGCGGAGATAGCACGCCGCCCTGTGGTACACCGGCTGTAGTACTGCACCAAGAAGAAACAGTGCTTTCAATACTAATGCCGGCGACCAGACAGGTAGTTGCGAAACCAGTCAATCACAGTTGGAGATATGTTAAGAGAGCGTAATGTACACAGCAAAACGTCAAAGTCAACAGTGTTGAATGCATTACTGAAGTCCAGCAATGTTAGGACTGTAAGCTCACCATTCTCCATAGCAGATCTGATATCCTCCGTAATATGAACTAGGGTAGTAGTGGTACTGTGCCCGGGTCGAAAACCGGACTGGAGAGGATTTAGGAGCAGGTTTCTGGAGAGGAAACTTGTAAGTTGAGAATGAATAAGACGTTCAAGGACCTTGGAGAGAAAGGGGAGGACGGAAATAGGGCGGTAATCAGAAAAGGATGCAGGGTTTTTCTTTTTGGGGATGGGTATAATGTCAGCATCCTTCCAAGCTGATGGAAATACGCTTTTTGTAATTGAATAGTTTAATATATGACAAATAACAGGAAGGATTTCATCGAGGATTGGGAGGATCATATTACGGCTTAGACAATCAGAACCCACTGCATTCGACATAATAGACATGATGCTCTTCCTAACATCACACTCTGCAAGTTGACTAAAAAAGAAGGGAGAGCAGTCAGGAGTCGGGGCAGAAGTAAGATGTTTTAGTGTAGCATCTTTAGTCATTTTATCAAAGTTTGACGAAGCAGAGAAAAGTTGATTAAGTAAGTCGAAGTTTACATTATTAGAAATGGAATCGTTAACAAATTTGCCTACTCCCAGTGACCTTAAAAATTTCCAGACTTTAGCTGGATCCCCGATTTCAACGGAGCTATGAATATATCGGCGTTGAGCGTTCCTACACACCTTGTTGCAATGATTCCTGATGGATACGTATTTCTCCCGGTTACTTTCGCTTGGATTCTTTTTAAATTTTGATTTTGCTAACGCTTTCGTATCGTATATATATATATAACGTAAGTTATCGGAACGACAATTCACAGCACCTGTTTTTTTTCACATTATTTTAAAAATATCATTATTGTCCACTGCGCCTGTCAAATATGATTAGACTAAATGACGAACGTAAGCTCCCCTCTAAATAGGTCAGGCAGTAGTATGGGTAAGTAAGTTTTCCTTCAAGTTGTCGTCCAAGAGGGATTTGGTCAAAATTACTATGTTGCTGACCCACGGACCATAATAAGTGATCGAAAGGTGTGTAATGTTTAAAGTGAGTACAAGTCGTATCAGTAGTACAGTTATTACATCGTAACACTGAGGATCTTCTGCTGGGACGCTTGAAATAGTAAATCACACACATACACACATGATCACGCTTACATATATACACGCCCAAACACACATCATGTCTCTTTTCCTTATTATTTTCTTAAATGTTATTTTTGTTTTTTAATCTCAACATAATGGCTTTGTATTGTATCGAAAACAACAGGGGCACTGATTTCTAAAATACAGGTACTAAACCTAGTTTAGAGATCAGCGTTTAGTAACAGTAGTACATAATTTATATGACCCTCATTTCTGTTTTTACACGCTTTATATTAGCTTCACTTGTATGTTTGTAACCGACTCCTTTGGGCGTGATTTTGACTGACTTTAAACGGTCAGAATTCGTTCAAACTTTGTAGATATATCGAGGACCGATGACAATACACTAATTTAAAAAAAAAAAAAAATAGAAAATGTGGGGTACTTTTTACTATTGACAACAGGCACCCAACGCTTTTTTTCAAATTTAATTTCTATTTTTTAGTTAGGTTTTCTATAGAAACCGCGTTTTTTAGTTTTTTAAAACTATGTTTTTTTATAATGTGTAACTTTATTGACTAATAAAAACATTATTATTTTTATTAAGTTAAGTCTAAGTGAGTACAGAAGAAATTAGGCAAAAAAAAGGTGTATTTTATGCGCTTTGTCATCCGATCATCTAAGATTTCGCTATGGATACAGGATTTAAAAACAATCTGAATACGTGTCACGTTTTTTTTTCATTTTTATTTTTGAAAAATGAATCATTTATTTTTATTCTATTTACATTTTTACAAATACCGTATACTTATATACCATAAATTCAGACAAACATTTTTTTAATTACATTAGCATAGTCATTATTAATTTTTTCAATGATCGGCTTCAGAGTATTGGCCTTTTGCTGTGCGGCCTTGTTTTCTGGGTCAAGCGTGAGTACATGCTGTATGTCCTTCCAGGCTTCTTCGTACATATTTAGTCCTGAGTAGGCCAAACATCTTCTGTATAAAGCTTTATCGTTCTGTGGGTCTAGCTTCAGTGTTTTATTAACAAGGTCCAACGCAGCACTATATTCATTGAATTGTAATTGACAGTGAGCCAAGTTGTTGTACAATTTAACCTGCAAATAATTTTACGTTAACCTACGTATAGTAAATCTAAATAAGAACTTTATGCAGCTTGATATAAGACAAGCCTCAGCTAGAAACATATAAATGCAAGAACAAGTTAATGGCGTAAAAAACAGAGGTGTTCTGGCACACGCGCAACCGCGTGAGTATGCTCGCAGTGTAGCGCTCACAAGCTGCTTTCGAACATTTGCCTGCCTTGCCTTCCTATGCATCATAATTATCATGAAACGGGACACTTACAGTGAAGTCGGCCCACTTACTGAGTCTCTCAGCGAGCTACATTGTAGAGAGATATGCTTGGTGTCTCTATGGAACAAAGAACCCAGATAACCGACATAGTTTAAAGAATTGGCAAGTTTAAATGGCAATAAGCTGGCTGTATTGCCGACAGAACCTGGGATAGATGAATTCTGGACCGCAAAAGACCGCATTTAAGGAAACACAATGTAGGTCACCCTGAGGCCCGGTAAATTCAAGATATGCGCAAGAACCGCAAAACGTCATTAGGAGTGAAAATGTTCAGTAATAGACGATGACTTTATTCCCAACTTTATTTTGGATCGATGCAGTGTCACACTGTAAGGGTTTGAGCTGTTTATAATTACTTTTATGTCCGGCCGCTGGCCTGATGCCAACACTCCAGGAACAGGGATATTACCTGACCAACTGTTAGTGATAATAATAATGCAATATCAGTTGAATTCCAATCTGAAATTTAATTAAAGAGACAGCTACCTATAGCGACTGCTCGAGCAGAAACCCGAATGCTCATGTGCGTTCCTAAGAGTGTTCGCCAATAACTAAGCACATCGTCAATCACGTAGCCCATCTAGCCATCGTCTGAGTTGAACACTTCTTCAAAACCAATTTTTAATCCATAAAATTATCCTTAAATATAATATACTGGATCGCTAGGAGGTTAAAAAATATTTGTCAAATGTTATCATTTCACAAAAGTTTTTAGGCTAAGATCCAACCATATTTTGTCTCAGCCTCAATTAAAACAAAAAAATTGTATTACAACTATTATCAGCTGCAGATTCTGAGTAACGTTACTATAGGAAACGTAATATTTTATATTGCATAGGAGGGCAAACAAGCAGATATCGTAAGTAACCACTACTAATCTAAAACTAAAAAACCTTTATTTTTTGGGTTTTTGGTGGTGCACCCTGGAAACTTTGATGTTGATGTTATTTTGATGTTTTTTTCTATGCTATTTAGAGGAGGGCGTCATCGCCAACGCCTAATATTCTAGTAAGAAGAAGAGAGGATTCTTCTTCGGCCTTTCGGTCGAGGCTTGGTCCAACAGAGCGGGCGTGTCCAGCCCCCAGAATCAGAGAGAGAAGTTTAGGGTCCGGTAACCGCACTCACTCGGTAAAAAGCTATAAAAGAGATGCTTCACAATGGTTTTCTGTCAGGTCGTGCTATCACTCCAGTTGAGCCAGCCAGCATTTACGACGAAACATGGCTCTCCCAGGTACATAATTACACATCAATATGCTTTCACTTTTACCAATTGTAGTACTCTACCACCAAAGAGGTCTACCGGAAGGCCAATTCTCATTGGAAAAAGTTCAGTTCTCACAATTGTCATAAAAGATGTTTTCGTAGTAAAGTATTAAACATCCAACGTTAACTGTAAGACCTATTATTTATTGTTCCATGGATTCACCGTACGGGTGCCGGGTCCATCGTGTTTATATCATATTGTAACAAAAAATTTAATCAGTAATCATAGTCTTAGTAATAATTTACAATTTAACTACGAAAATACATCCCTTTTATGACAGTTGCGAAATCTGAATTTTAACGAAGAATTGGCCTTCTGGTTACTTCTTTACTACAATCACTACTCGGAAATTATTTGTTTTTATACATTTTGAAGAAAATGGGGTTGACTTGGATAACATTTTACAGCTCATATATCATCATCATCATCATCAACAGCCTTTAATGGTCGTCAGCTGGACAGAGGCCATTGCTTAGAAAAGAGATTTAATAATAATAATAATATTCTACCACATTCACACAACGCCATCTAGTCCCAAACTAAGCAGAGCTTGTACTATGGGTACTAGACAACTGATATAAATACATATACACTTTTTTTTTTAAATACATACATATTATTAGTGATGTGCCGGATATCCGTATCCGTATCCGCGGATATCCAAGGGAGAAGAGAGATCCGTAACCGTATCCGTATCCGTGACTTTTTTGGCGGATCTTTCAATACATATTACATAGATGAAATTCTATTTAGGTGATTTTGTATTCACTTTAAAACTCTTAGGTATGTGTTTGTAACACTATAAACAGCAACTTTTTTTCTGGCCAACGTCAAAATGAAAAAAAAATGGCCCTCCATTTAAATGACCAATCAAATGTTGTTAGTTTGTATGGAGAAACAATTTTTTTTCTTTCGTTTTCGGTGTTAGTCCAGAAGAAAAGTTGTTGTTTATTATGTTACTAATATGCACTTCAGAGGTTTTCAGTAAATTTAAATTTAACCCTGAATAATGGTTATTAGGTAGGTATGAAAAACCATTGAATTCTGTTCAGATTACATTTTATTTCTTAAAACAAATATTTGGCACCTTTGTATTGCAATCATTTATCGCACTACACTAAATCAACTAGGCAGGTCGTAGGTACTGAAAGAGCTATCGTTATAATGAGATCAATCAAACATCTTTGTATTAGCTTATTAAAATAATGAAATATTTAAATATCAACGGCAAAGCGTCAAGTGGCGACAACTATCAAGGTCACGGGCTCCGATTGAGTAAGAAACTTAAGATCCGTATCCGTATCCGTATCCGCGGATCTTGACACCAAATATCCGTATCCGGATCCGTATCCGCGGATATACTTTGTTAACGATCCGGCACATCACTACATATTATACATAGAAACACCCAGACAAAATCAAACATTAAATGTTCATGCACACAAATGCTTGACTTGAGCGGGCATCGAACCCGCGACCTTTGGAATAGCAGTCCGTTACACAAAATACTACGCCATTCGGTTGTCAAATCATTTTCAATTTTAGCCACAGTGGCCAGACTGGTTTGTAGCTCATAATTATGTAAAATAGGGAGATACAGGTTAACCAGAGTTGTAAATCACCTTAAGATCCATCATTTCGTTAACAGTCTTTTCACTGACAGTTTCCGGGTCCAATGGTTCTGTAGCTATGAGCATTTTAAGTGACTTGTTAAATCTTCTGAATGCATCTACTATCCTTTTCTCTTTGACCAGCTCTACTCCTCTCGTCTGAAACAATGAAACAAAATTGTTACCTAGGCACAGTAAGTTCCTAAGCACAAGGATCTCATCACATCTAACAATCTGGGTTGAACCCAGTTGGTTGTTAGTAGCTTTCAGTTGATTTTTATTGTGACATTCCTCAATATGATACTAAAACGTCTTTGTAGGCTGTCTAATATTAACTTTTTAGCATCTATACAAATAAATAAAATTGGAGTGTCTGTTTCTAATATTAAAATAACCGTTTTTTACTAAATGCATATGTATGTTTACATGGTACATATGCCAAAATAACATTTTTTTAAAAATTTGTCTGTCTGTCTGTTTGTTCCAGGTAATCTCTGGAACGACTGGACCAATTCCGACGGGACTTTCACTGGCAGATAGCTGATGACATAAGAGTGACTTAGGCTACTTTTTTTAGACTAGCTTCGCCCCGCGGCGTACGCGGGTAACACAGGGTCTCAGCTAGTTAGGAATGTAATCCTGTGTAGCAGGGACTTCACAAACATACATAAAACAGACACAAAGAACACCCAGACTCAGAACAACAATTTGTGGATCACACAAAGTGTCGTCCCATGTGAGGATCGGACCCACAGCACTCAGAGTAGTAGTGAGCGGCGTGGCAACCGCTTAAACGATTGTTGTTAATCCTATGTCTGTCTCCAAATTATAAATAACACATGCAAATTTCGTCTGAGTCTCTCAAAAGGATTTTTTTCTAACATTTTCCATTGATGTTTGGCTCCTACTGATTTCTTTTTTGTTAGGTGTTGGCTCACATCCGTTGTGTGCTGGTCAGGATTTGAACTAACAACCTCTTGATCGCAAGTCCAACGCCTTAACCACTAGGCTACCAACGCTTTAATAGTGTGTAGTAGCTTTAATAGTGTGATATTTATATAACACATAGGCCTACATCTTCAATAAATAAGCTATCCAACACTAAAAGAATTTTTCAGGTCAATGCAGTAGCTCCTGCCGCATTCAACCAAACAAAGACAGCAATGCATTTGTGACTCCTGAGTTGCAGGCACTTTCTATCAGGTGACCCGTCTGAACCATCTTTCAAAACAAATACGAACAAACCCATCAGCTTTATAGTATTAGTATAGATAAAACATATTTCACATCATCACATCAACAGCTTTTAATGGTCCACTGCTGGACATAAGCCTCTCCTTAGAAAGGTTTTAGCCTACAATACCAAGCTGGCCAGACAGGTTGGCATAGGGTTTGTGTCAAGTTTTCCTTCTCTTTTATATACTTGTTTACATTAACTTATTTATTTGTTTTTAATAGTAGGGTTGGCAAGTCATCACAAACATTACGTAGAGCAATCTGAAGACCAAGTACCAATGTAAGCTTTATTATATATATGTAAAAAGACATATGGTTCAAAACTGAATTTTAAGCGTTATTTCATGTGGCTTTTGTAACTTAGTTTTTACAATAATGAACTGTGTAAAATGGATTAAATAAAGCCTCTGAGACTGCTGTGTAACATGTAGTGTTTTTCTTCAACAAATAGTTATTGAGAAGGCCGCCTGACAATATGCAGTTAGTAGAATGAGTTGGTACCGGACCAACTCATCCTACTAACAAAAGAGATATGTTTATGAATCTCATTATGGCACAAAGATAATACCTTATGATGCACAGCACCTTCATACAGCCTATCCATTCCCCAATCGCTGATTAGCTGCTCCTCCGTGACATCACACAATTCTATTTTACAAGATATCTCTTTCACAAACACGCCCTCACCGTTTCTGTAGACCATAGTAGCTACACAAGTTTCACCACAACACATCTGCTGCAAAATCAATTCAAAGTCTTTATCTAAGAAACAGTCACTGTCTCCAATCAGAACGTTACCATCAAAACCATCACTGAAAACATAACTCTCAGGCTCAATTTCACAAGGTCCACTCGCATTTTTACATGTAATATCAGTTATTTTAACGCTGCATCGGGAATCTTCGTAAGGAACTACATTGAAGTCGCCCGGTGTAATCACTTCTTTCCGTAATTCGCGGTCTGGGCGGGAGCTTACAACAGACTCTTTCTGCATCTTGAAAATATTAGTTTACACCTTTAGTAGTTACATAAATTATTGTTGTTTTGTTCACAGCAATTATAATATAGAGAAAATAAGATTTTCAAAACATTTATTGAATAGAACTAAGAAGTAGTTGACTTAGTGTTGCCATATTACTCACAGATTAGTATGATGCAATGCTGCCAACAGTTAAATGAACTCGGCGGCAATGGTCACTTTCCATCAGGTGACCCGTTTAATCGTCTGCCCCCTCTAACATATAAAAAAAATCATTGAACATAGAGTCGGACCCTGAATAATTCGTTGGTCTGCCCAGACCCAATTTTTCAACTTTGAATTTTCTCCTGTGCCTTCTGGAGACATCTGAAAGATATCAGTCTGTTATAATGCCCATTGCGTTACAACAGACAGACAGAATGATCTTTGCAAGCCATAAGAATAATGGTTTACGAGATAGATTAGGTCCTCGAAGTTTTAACCCGAAACCTTTTTCTCACTCTGGCACAAAGCCTACATCATCCCATTGTCTAAAATTAATAATCCTTCTCTTTCAGAGTAACTCTATCCAACCCTTATCCTTCCTTTCCTATCAAACGTTCTTGAGGTATTCTAGGAACTGTTTTGTGCGGAACTGTGTGGCATCGTTTCTTTTTACGGCAAATAAGATTCTCTAAAAAATTACATCATTTATTTTATCTTTTTACAGTTTTGACGTAATATTATATTTAATATGAAAATATTGAATTAAATATTATTTGAATCAGATATATAAGTACAAGTAGTATTACTAAATAAGCTCAATGTTAATATTTTTTTTTATTTGTCATAAAATAAAGCGAACGTTTTTCCATTGTTTTTATTGTTTTAAGAAAACGTCAGAATCAGCTGTCAGTCACGCGAATTTTTTAAATTTCTTATGTTGTAATTTTTAAACTTTTATACATAAAACCGTGTTGAATTTTTATTTATTATTTATTAGATTCCGTGAAATTAAACTAGGCAAATTATAATTATATAAAATATCTATTAATTTATCTGATACTGTTTCTTTTTAAATTAGGTAAATATTAGCCGGTTTAGGTAAAAAAGAAAGTAAGTGTTATTTTTTAATAATATTATTGATTTTATAAGATTCTTGTCAACATTGATCAATAATATAGCTATTTTTTGCTTTGTTTTAACCTAAAAAATATTAAAAATGAACTGTTTTATTTTATATTAAACTATTTATTTTAGACATCATGACGCTACTACTAAAAAACATGTGGCGGAGTGTACTGAGCGGCAGATCGTTGAACAGCTCTCTGCGGTCAAGAAGCTTTACCTCAGACAGTATTTATCTTTTTACTACTCGGAACTAAATAGATTTATACTTTTTATATTTAACTAGCTGTACCCTGCCACGCCTCGCTGTGGCACAGTGTGGTTGAGGAACATGTGAGAAATGAAGAACTTAAAGAAAATGTTAATGAACTTTACTAAACGAAAATGTTTGAAGCGGGTTGTATATCATGTCACAATTAGAAAAATAAAGGGAGATAAGTACTGACCGTTCTGGCTAGATGCCTGACTCCTTTGTTTTGCAACAGATGATAATACAAGAGCACAATCGGTGCAGAACTTTCTGAGCTTTAGAAGCATACACAAACAAACTTAAGAATTATATATATAATTCATATTCAACTGGCCTGTTGGTTTAGTGGTTAGTGACCCTGACTGCCACTCCAGAGTGTGATGTCCACTAAGTACTTTTTTTTTTTCTTTTTTTTTTTCTCTTTAAAAAAAAGACAACTCCCGCATTAGGAATAAATCCTGTGTCGCGGGGGACTTTACAAACATACATGAAACGGACACAAAGAACACCCAGACTCAGAACAACAATTTGTGGATTACACATAGTGTCGTCCCATGTGGGGTTTGAACCCACAACACTCGGCGTAGTAGGAAGCGGCGTGGCGACCGCTTAAACCACTACGCCATCCGTGCAGTCAAACATACAAAGTCAAAAAAAAAAAGTCAAAGGTACGGTCATTTGTTCTGTGTCTGGGTGTAATTTATCTATAAGTATGTTTATCATAGTACAGGCTCTGCCTAGTTTGGAATCAGACGGCTGTGTGTGAGATGTGTGAAAAAAAATATATAAATATATAATTCAAAAAAGATAATTCCTTCTTGCTCATAAATGTAAAAGTTAAGTTTCATTGTTTCTTCTTCTGTTCCTTAACTATTCAACTGGTCATCATACATTTCTGTGAAACTGTCAAGGTTAAATTAAAGGAAGAAATAAGTTACCTATTATCCATTTTAAAAAATACTGTTGACACACTCAAATTGATATACAAATAATTTATTATAGATAGTTCAACTCAGTTGTGCGCGCGGCCCTATGTGTGCTCGGTGTGACGCGGTGCTCGGACGACGACTGCCACACGAATGAAAGTTGTATATTTACAAGCCCACGCATACATAGGGCCGCACGCACAACTGAGTTGAACTATCTTTAATGTAAGTGATGCCACGGGCAAAACATAGTTTTAAATGAGCTAAGGTACACTTACAATTTTTATTACTGAATGGTAATATTTTTTTATGGAGTAGTAGAAGTAACAATTTTTTTTTGGTTCTTTTTTATTTTTACTTATAATATTGGTTGCATGTTACTTAATTCTTCTATCTTCTCTGTTCACTGTTCTTGTTAAACTCTCCTCTCTCTCTCTGAAGCCAATATTAAACAGACACTCATGATCATACAGCTGAGAAAAATTAGTCAAAAATATTTCAATTTGTATGTATATCAGGTATTTTATCGTAAGATGTGCGGGGTATACCTTGAATTGATTTCAGAAGAAGATGTAGAGCACAGTGATACAAAAAACGGTGAAAAGCAATTCTTTCGTAGCTCGAGATACAGTGAGTCAGCTGACACTAGTGGGGACTTAATGACCCGTTTGCTCGTTAGCACTATTTACTATAAAAAAAACCTTGTAAAAATAATAATAATAATATTCTACCACATTCACACAACGCCATCTAGTCCCAAACTAAGCACAGCTTGTACTATGGGTACTAGACAACTGATTATAAATACAAATGTACCTTTTTTTTTGTAAATACATGCATACATAGAAACACCCATACCAAATCAAACATTAAATGTTCATGCACACAAATGTTTGCACACAAATAGCAGTCCTTTACACAAACCACTACGCCATCCGGTCGTCACATATTAAAATGAACGTGAATAATTCCTGATTAATCAAAAATTATTCTGGACTGGCGACCACTTACCGAAAGATGGACCGTGCGCAGATACAGTACAGGGTGATCCGACGACCTGGTTAAGGTTGCGGGAAGTCGTTGGATGCGGGTAGCACAGGACTGGTGGTTGTGGAGAGCCTTTTGGAGCTCTTATGTCCCGCGTCTTTCGGCTGAGATGATGATATACTAGATCCATTGTAGTTTTTCTTGAACCTGCTTCGATACATCTTGCCAGCTGGACCAGAGTGAGTAAGTTATCAGAGCTCCCATCCCCAATCATAATTATGGGGAGGCTCTCATAGGTTGGCAACGTGTATTGTAAACGACACCACTGAACCACACCACTGGAGTGTCGTTTAGATTTTTTTTTGTTAACGACACCACTGCTAGCTATTGATGTGTAACGTGAAATAAAACAATTCGTTACGTGTTAATTTTTAATGATAATATTGAAATTGGTCGAGTTCACAGGGATTCGTAAAACATAACAATTGTATCCATTACAACAAAAACTAAATCAGTTTATAAAACTTGATCTGATAATTATACAGTAACTATTCCTTTTTTTTACCGTGTCTTTGTTTAACTTCATCCTGCTATCTTTAAAGCAACTTCTGGAAACTTCTGGAAAAAGTTTTTGAAAATGTTCATGGTCGTGATCTGACGATTAAAAAGTAATTGATATCGATGAATGCATAAGTTTTGTGTCAGAACTTCATTACGGTGGGTTCGTTAGCAAAAAAAATGGTAAGCGACACCCAATGGTGTCGTTTCCAATACACGGTCGGTAACGTCTTTGTGACATTTGAGGTACAATTTTTCATAGATAGCCATAGTCACTTATCAAGTTATCATAAATTCGCCCATCTACTTGTTTGCATCCCTAATCCATTAAAAACTAATATTTCAAGTATTATAATATTGTATTATTTTCAGTGACAGAGATGTCGCTGTCACAATCCCCAGATGTTGTAATGACCAGTATCAAGACTGCGCTGAGCGCCGCTGACGTGTTACATGCTGTACAGACCAATTTAGCGGTAATGAACCATAAGCATATGCTTCAAGCGTTTAGGTGCTTATTCAACCTACAGAGAGCTTGCAAGTAAGTGGCTAGCCAAAAAAACTTCAGTTAATTTCTAACTTATGTGTAGTTTAACCACCAAGAGTAATTAAGCTACGCTTGTAGTTTAATTCCGTGTGGTGACGGATTAAGAATACAGAGTGTCACCACCCCTATTCATCCCGTGGGTGTCGTAAGAGCCGACTAAGGGAGCAAACTACGCAAGACAACAGCACTGCAAAGAGAAGGAAAACTTGACAGAAACCCTATACCAACCCGTCTGGCCAGCGTGGTATAGTAGGCTAAAACCTCCTTTCTAAGGAGAGGCCTATGTCCAACAGTGGACTATTAAAGGCTGTTGATGATGATTGATGATGATGATGTAGTTTAATTGCGCTTGGTGGATTTAAATTACGGCATTCTATAACAGTCGAATGCATGGTTGTTTTCTATTGAGAAAGATGGTAACAGGACGGATCATCGCTTTGGGACTAAACCAAGTCTCACAGACTATGTCGCTCACATAGCTCTTTACGATAATGTCCTCCTAGGTTTTTTTGCATTTATGCCTTTTCGGGCAGGATATTTTTATTTTCTTAAATAAGAATGCTTAATTTGTTTTCTCACTTCTAAAAGTTGAATGTCACAGTAGAAGCCTATGGTTCTATGCTGGTTCTGGTCTTTGGAACCTAAACATCATGTTTCAGCAGCATATCAACAGGCCTGTTGGTCTAGCGGTTAGTAATGCTGACTGCTAGGTCAGAGGTCATGTGGCCGCCCAGAATAAATTGTCGTGTAATAAGTGCAATCATCTGTTCTGTCTCTGGGTGTAACTAACCTATCCTCGGTCTGGTCATCATAATAAAGGCTCTGACTAATTTGAAATCAGACAGTCGTGTCTGTACGGCACTTATATTATTATATAGCGTTCTATCTTCGTTCAATGATTCCAGGACAAACTTGTCGAATTTGCATTGAATTTATGGTCAGTATTTTACTTTGTATCTCCATAAAAGCCAACATTGCGATGATCATAACTATTGTCTGATTTTGTCGTATATACAAAAAAAGAAGTATTTGATATTGTTATTCCGTTTTAGAATACCTGGCGAAATTGATCACTTAGTAAAGGATCCCACATTTGGAGTTTTGTGCCAGAATTTTAAAAAGCAAGCAAGAGCACTAGATGTAAATGAAGCTATAGAAGCCACAAAGGTTCTTACTTATCTCAAGGTCCCAGCTGATTCTGTCGTTGTCCAGACAATGCTGCAACTGATAAAGACCAACATCAATATGATAAGCTTACGGCAGATAATGTTCATGGACTTTCTTTTAACCAGATTCGATACTAAGAATCATCTTGTCGATGCATTAAAGCTGGCTCTTCCTTTAGCCTTCCAAATACATTTGCCAATTGAGATTGACAATCAGGACTTATCCTTATTAAGAGATATGTTGTCTTATGCCTGCTCTCATGACCTTCCAGAACGTTGCATTAACAATATAGTAACAGGCTTGCTGTTACATGATCAGGCGATTGATGCCCAAATCGCTAAATCTATAATATGGTCATTATGTCAAGCAAACTGCACCGAGCAATTATACCCGACGCGGGTACAATTACTCCATATTTGCTACGATATACTAACACAGCGGCTTAACCAGCTGACGTACGATGAGGTCTTGAGTACTGTTGCCAGGATCAAGGGCAGGATCCTGGAGAAACACCCGGAGTATTACCATGAACAGCTTATGGATGCTGTTGCTCAATACATGGTGAAAAATAAAGTCAACTTCGAGAAAAGCTTACTAGTGGCTCGTATACTGTCGCGAACAGTGAGTATATTAAATTCCATTTTTATTAAGTCTAGTATTTTTCAATGTATAACGTTTCATTGAAAAATTTCAGGCACATACGAATTTAGGGTTGGTCGAATACCTGTGTAACCTTGCAGCCTCCAACAGCGCTACTCTTGCGACGTGTCGTACAAACATACTTCTCGGCTTCATCAATTGCTTGTCAAATAACAATTACGAACCAGAACAGATGCAGTGGAAAGAAATTCAACGGCAAATATCAAAAAACCCGGTATTGGATGGCAAAAATAATGCTTTACCGTGGGCGAAAATTTGTCTTGAGTTGGCTTCTTTAGGACATTACGAGGATAAGTTACTGACTAAAGTATTTTCAAAGACTTACTTTGATGATTTCCACATAAGAGATACTAACATGTTGGATTATCTCCAACTCCTGACCCTCCACGAGGCTGTCAGAACCTTCTATAGCGACAAGTATGGGCTTCCAACGGAAGTACTTGAGAAGGCGAAGTCGATATACCCTGCTCATGCGTTAACGGATCAATTAGAAGATCATCTCGCACAAGGATTGGGAGGTGCTCAATATGTTGTGAGGAATGTACTGCTTCCGAATGGGTTTGTTGCAGGTAAGTTGTGTTAACTGAAGTTGTTTTTTTCTTAAGCTACGATGTTTACCATCTTGGATGTAATTGGTTACCAGCATCTTTATATATGCTTGCAATGGTTAAGATGGCGACCAAAAATAATGACAAAGAAGGAAGCGTAATAATTTTATCATTCATGTAAAAATACGTAAATACGTGCTTAACATTGCTTTAGAAAAGTACCTAAACAGCAGAATAATACAAAAGTTACAGGCATATTCCCTGGCTATCCATTACTGACCCTAAAATTGACCTTGGTCACAATGTTGATCATCTCAAGGGTCAAGGGCAATTTTTAAATGGATTTATATATTTTTGAGCCCGGAATTAAAAAAAGGAAAAAATTACAATCGGATATGACATTCAGTACCCAAATTTTGACCTGTTTGATTTTGACCAATCCAAAGTCAAGCTCACACGTTTAGAGATGAAAATATTGGTTTTACCGCTACGTCTTATTCTTGGCTGTTGGCTGAAGAAAATACAAATTTCCTAAAGTTTTGTGAGTTTGACCTTTAGAAGTCAAAATTTTCAAAGGTTGTGATCAAGGTCACTCATCGACAGCCAGGGAAAATTCCTGCAACTTTTGTCTTTGACGTATTGCCGGAAAATGCATGCATGCCTAGCGAATTATTCAAATTTAGGAGAGATTTTTTTTTTGGAAATGCATGCAATGCGTTTTTAAAAAATGAAACATTAGGCCTGTCTGCTGAGAAATTAGTTGCATTAGTTTGACTTAGTATCTACTACCTGGTAGGTTCTTAGCGGTACTTAGTGGGTTCGATGCCCGGACCGGGCAAAGTTTTAAAGGGTTTTCTGAGAGGAAAAATAGCCTAAGTTATTCCTTATGTAGACAGCTACCTGGTAGTAAAATATTATCGAAATCGGTCCAGCTGTTTAGAAGATCACCCGGAACAAACAGACATACAAAAGAAAACTGGTTTTTAGGCATAGGTATCGTGCAAATAGGCACGAAAAAACCTATAATTTTGACATTACAAACAGACACTTCAATTTTATTTATTTGTATAGATTATGAGAGATCTTTTCGAGAGTAGTTCGAATATAGGAATAGATATGTTTCTATTGTCAAATAATTATCATATATTGTTGTACGTCTTGTAGATTGCCTGATTTGCCTCCAAAATGGATATCCAGTGCAGATGCCAATTTGTAGCGGTGACTTGAAAGTGCCTATTGGATACCTAAACTTACCCGCTGGTAGCATAGTGTGAGTGGATTGTGTATATTTTTATATATTTCTAATTTTACCTCTTTTATATTCAATTTGGCATTCAACCTTCACTCTAAACGACTGTTAACGGTTGACGGTTTAAGCGGTCACCTCGCCGCTCCGTAATGCGCTGAGTGTTGTGGGTTAGATCCCCACATGGGACAAGACTTTGTGTGATTCACAAATTGTTGTTCTGAGACTGTGTTCTTTGTGTCCGTTTCATGTATGTTTGTAAAGTTCCCAGTGACAGGATTTATTCCTAATGTGGGAGTTGTCTCTTTAAAGAAAAAAAAACCTGACAAAACTTGTTGCACCTTCAGCTTTAGCACCGAAACATTTAACTTGGACTGTGATCTTGACTGCAGAGCGAGAGGATGCTGCTTCGATTTCCACACAAAACAAATCATCAATCATCAACAGCCTTTACAAGTCCACTGCTGGACAGATGCCTCTCCTTAGAAAGGACGTTTTGGCTTACAAATAATTGTGTTTATAATGATAAGATTTTGGACATTAACACACAAAGCCATCTTTTCAAACTAAGCAGAGCTTGTTCTATGAAAGCTAGATTGACTGATAGAATACATATACACCTACTTTTTTTTGTAAACACATACATATTATACATAGAAAACACCCAAACTCCGAAACAAATATTTGCAGGTCATAGGTACAAACATTTGGTCCGACCAGGAAATCTTTAACACATTACCATCGGAGATCAACCACCCCCCTCAACCCCCCAAGTTCTTCAGTTTTTCTGTGTCATCCGTAGTACCATACTCTTCATATATACACAATAACCAGGATTACCATCATTGTAACCATTTTTCCAAATTTATTTGACTGAGGCCAACCCTTTTTGGGTACGTAAAACTTAAAAAAAACACCTAAATTAGAAGTATTTTTAATGTCAACGTCAAAATTACGAAATAAACGAAACATACAACACAATATAATAAATAATTACAAACCAGGATAATAATATTCTTAATTCCGTAATTACGTTAATTGTTTTTCAGGGTGTGCGTGATGAATTTCGCACCAAGTTGTTTCTCAATGAACAGCAACCGCCTCCGTGGTACCTTCAGACTGGTGTTAGACATATTAGAGAAACAGGGATACGCAACTGTACCGATTAACATAAACGAGTGGCTATCAGCTCCTCCCCACGAAAGGACGCAATATCTGATTAGGGAAGTGGGCTACAAATGCGGGGAAATTGGTTTGAAATTGTCCACATGCAGTTCTTGAATGATACCTACATAGTATTTTTTTTATTATGGGCGGGGATAGAAAAATTTATTGAGTAAATGTCATGTTTTTGTTATAAAATGCTGTTTTTTTTTTTTGTTTTTTTATCCAAAACAATCAAAACAATGTTGTGTATATTTAATGATGCCATCGTTAACTGTTGATTAAAAAACTGGTCAGGTACGAGTCGAACTCGTGCGCCGAGGGTTCCGTACCTACCCAGATTTTACGTAGATTTTCGCGAAAATTTGTAAGTACCAAAATTGATCTTAATTTTAAACTTTTTTATTTTTGGAATTATTTCTTTATTTGTGCTGTAAGACGTTTCTTTTTGCCAAATTTCGTTATTTTAAGTAAACGGGAACTACCATATAGGTTTTCGACCCAAACCTACAAGTTTTCGCGAAAATCGAAATTTGCCTATATTTTTTATCGTGTTGATTCATTGATTTTTATACACCTAATAGGGACCATAGACCTCAGTGTCTGGTATAAATTTCAACTTGCTAGGTCTACCCGTTCCTGAGAAAATCGGTGGTGAGACATGGACAGACGGACAGAAAGACAGACGGACAAGAAAGTGATCTTATAAGGGTTCCTTTTTTACCTTTTGAGGTACGGAACACTAAAAAGAGTGGTCATGAGTTTGTTTGCCCTTTCTTCTCATGAGGCTCAACCCCTTGGAAATGGGCGGTTGTAGATCGGCACAGGCATATAAAATATTTTCTAAACGTATATATTTAGATTGCTAAATATTTGACAAAACAGAGATTGTTGCTATTGTGTGTGTGTTGATCTAGGGTATACAAGACGGTTTCAATTTTTTTTTTATGAAATAAAGGTATTTGAGTAAGTTATCTAGTGTAGGAGACAAACCTGACCTGCAGACAGGTCACTTGATAGAAAGTAACAACCGCTGCCCATGGAATTTAGCTGCAACTGAGTCACAAGTGCAGTTGCCAGGCGATGCCAGTAGTGGCCACCCAGAGTTAGGGTGGTTGAGGTGATGTAAAAAGATAGTTTATTTCTTTGTGTTAGAAGGGGCAGACGAGCAGACAGGTCACCTGATGGAAAGTGACTGAGAAGCTGGTACTGAGGTGCCCCTGCATAGAGATGAGAACAGTTTTCTATATGCGGCCGGACTTGCGCCTTATAGAGCTGAAGGCGGTGGGCCGGAGTGAACTACTGCCTCGATCTGTTCAGGACACCGAGCCAATTTGACCAAGTCGAGGCCAATTTGACCTTACCCTCTAAATGACCCCGAAACTGGACTTCGCTCGATATGTCGATGCCTAGTATTGCGATACTTGGTGAGGCAGTTAAGGAGGTGCTCTCAAATCGAGGTGATACAACAAATGGTATTTTCTTTGCGGTGAACGCACAGACCTGTGTCTTTTTTTGGTTGAACAGGACTAGATTTAGTCGGCTCCAATCTCAAACCTCCACTAAGGAAGTTTCAATTTCAGACACAAGTGTGTTTTGACTCACGATGACGTGTATAATACCGATTTTCTGGGAAGCTCTGGTATAAATCCGATCGAGCCGACCCATATGTGCTGGAGAACCACTCGTGGCTCTTTCATGGTAAAAAAGTGTATTGTAGGTGGTACTTATAGTTCCTTTTCCTTTCCTCCTTTCGTCTTACACCACTGACTTCTATTAGATAAGTAATGCAGGACAACAGCACTGCATAGAGAAGGAAAACTTGACGCAAACCCTATACCAACCCGTCTCGCCAAAACCTTTCTAAAGAGTATGTCCAGCAGTGGACTATTACAGGCTGATGATGATGATGATGATGATGATGATACAAGTAATTACTTATATAATAGAGCTCAGTGGTTTGGGGATATTTTATCAAAGAGCTTATAAATATAGAGGAAGCGAACAAGGCGCTATCGCATACGGTTGGTAGAGAGTGAAAGAAGATTGTTTTTGTCTTGCATTTCTATCTGCTCTTGTCACGGATTGGCTTATATTTTAAATGCTCTCTTCAGTATCAGCCAATTAGTTCAGAGAGGAGAGAGAGATGTGAGACCAAAACAATATTCGTTCTTTATCTAACGGTCGTTCGCTACCACTTACAGCGGAATATACACTACCTCTATTATATTATCTCTATGTATATTATTCTTCCTGTGATACCACAACTGAAAGAAGAAACTACTAGTAATAAATACTACATAGATGGATGCACACACTCGCGTCTTTTTGAAGCTCAGATCAAATAATAAAGTTAAAATGGTACTCTGTGAACAAATAAGTGAGGCCAATTAACATTACACCTTGGTGTGTACTTATACGCACACACGAACAACGAAACTACCCCTTGTCAGTCAAAACCTAAGATAAAGAAATAGTCAAAACATCAAAAATGACAACAATATACGAGGGGTGATCAATAAGTAATGATAATCAATATGAAACAGAACTATTAGATTAAAAAAAGTATTTTATTTTTCAACATAGTCTCCTTGCAAGTTAATACATTTAGTGTATCTTTTTTCTAAGCCCATGATTCCCTTAGAAAAAAATTCTTTGTCTTGACCCTCCCAAAATGCCTCTACTGCGGCCATTACTTCACTATTGTCCTCAAATTTGTTGCCCCGGAGGTGTTCTTTGAGCCGAGGAAAGAGGTAGAAGTCACTGGGAGCTAGATCTGGCGAATAGGGAGGGTGTTCGAGCAGTTCGAACCCCGTTTCTTCAATGGCAGCCATCACAACTGCGGCTTTGTGAGCCGGGGCGTTGTCTTGGTGAAACAGCACTCCAGCGCGCAGTTTACCGCGTCTTTTTGACTTAATAGCTTCTCGCAATCTTCTTATTTGGCCTGCGTAGTAAGAGCCTGATATAGTGGCCCCCTTTTCCAAATATTCCACCATAATAATTCCTTCTGCATCCCAGAAAACAGACGCCATAACCTTTCCCGCTGAACTTGACACTTTGAATTTCTTCGGCGTTGGTGAGGAAGCTCGTTTCCAAGTCATTGATTGTTGTTTGGTTTCGGGATCAAAGTGGTGGATCCAGGTCTCGTCCATGGTCACAAAACGCGACAAAAAAAATTCTTTATCGGCCTGGAACTTTTGAAGATTCACCCTCGAAATGTCGACTCGTTTCTTTTTTTGCTCGTCGGTTAACATTCTCGGTACCCAACGCGCAGAGACCTTTTTCATATGCATTTTGTTGACAATGATTTTTTGAACGCTGCCATAGGAGATCCCTGTGACCTCAGCTACATGCCTTACGGTCACCCTTCGATCGGCCAACACGATATCTTCCACTTTTTTGACGTTTTCTCCAGTAAGGGACGTGGAAGGGCGTCCCTCGCGATGTTCATCTTCAGTGGAGGTTCTGCCCAGCTTAAATTCCTTTGCCCAGCGTGCGACTGTGGAATATGGAGGAGCAGACTCCCCCAATGTTTCCTCTAAGTCGCTGTGTATGTCTTTGGTAGACATTTTTTTCAGGCAGAGGTACTTGATGACAGCTCTTATTTCATTTTTCTCCATTTTGATGTTTTCTCTTCGACAGTTCGTATTCAAATGAATGTATCTCCCGGTAATGGTGTCCTATTTATACATTTTTTTTGAAGCTGAAGTAGTGGATATATAAGCAAGCAGAAAAAAAATAATTTGGGTTTTTGTGCGTTCTAGAAATACTCGATTATCATTACTTATTGATCACCCCTCGTATATGCGAGTGGGAGAGCCATGCTTCGGCACGAATGGGCCGGCTTGACCGGAGTGATACCACGGAACCCCGGTCACAGAAAACCGGTGTTAAGCAATTCTTTCATTGCCTTTCACTGAGTGAGTGAGGTTACCGGCGCCCAAATCCCGCCTCCAAGGGCATCAATGCAATTGTGACTTTTGAGTTGCAAGTCTCAATGGGCGGCGGTAGTTGCTTACCAACAGGTGACCCGTCTGCTCGTTTGCCCCCTTATACTATAAAAAAAGAAAGGGTGTAGAAATCAAAATACAAGAGATAGATAATAGGATGGAATCGCATTTCATACATAAGTAAGCGTAGAAACCAATATCTATACTAATATTATAAAGCTGAAGAGTTTGTTTGTTTGAACGCGCTAATCTCAGGAACTGCTGGTCCGATTTGAAAAATTCTTTCAGTGTTAGATAGCCCATTTATCGAGGAAGGTTATAGGCTATATAAAAGGAGCGGAGCACCAATGAAGAATGTTTCAAAAACGGAGAAAATTTATTACTATTGAGAGATGAGACGGAGTTGCGCGGGTCAGCTAGTTTTAAATAAAATAAAATTACAATGGCCTAAGCACATGTTTATAAAACTGGCTCACTTCGTTGTTCGCGAAGTCAAACTTGACTTTTTTATTTGATCTGATTTCCGTAGTAGTAATAAGTAATATGGTTTGCAAAATGTGCGGATGTAAAAATTAAAATATTATTAAAAAAAAAAAAAAAAAAAATTTATAAAGTAGTCGGTTGTTGTGGAGAGCTTTGGAGAGGCCTATGTCTAGCAGTGGACGTCTTCTGGCTGAGATGATGATGATGATAAAATAAACATATAATATCTTCATTTGACTTCCCTTCTCAGAGGCGCCATCTGAAAATCAGGGCTGCACAACACACTTTGATGCCTTTTCGGGCCCGTGAATATTATAATTCTGCACGGATGGCGTAGTTGTTTAAGCGGTCGTCACCCCGCTTCCTACTACGCTGAGTGTTGTGGGTTCGATCCCCACATGGGACGACACTTTGTGTGATCCACAAATTGTCGTTACGAGTCTGGGTGTTCTTTGTGTCCGTATCATGTATGTTTGTAAAGTCCCCCGCGACATATATTAATATTCCTAGTGTGGGAGTTGTCTATTAAATAAAAGAATTCTAAGTAGGTAACTATCGCGAAGCTGTAGAGCAGAGAAAAAGTCTGTACCAAAGAGATCTTTTGTGAAAGAGACATTTTTTTTCACATTCACACAACGTCATCTAGCCCCAAACTAAGCAGAGCTTGTACTATGGGTACTAGACAGCTGATATAAATACATATATACATTTTTTTTTGTAAATACTTACAAATTATACACAGAAACACCTAGACCAATTGGTTGACTTGAGCGGGAATCGAATCCGCCACCTTTGGAATAGCAGTCCGTTACACAAACCACTATGCCATCCGGTCCAAAATTTGAGGCCCTTATCTTTGTTACCTACTATTTAATCAGCCTAATACGATGTCTTTTTGGCTTTTGCTTTCATAATAATTAAGTAATGTCTATCAAACCGGGTGGTTGTCACAGACACGTGCTCGGCGGCACCCTCCAAGTAAGTCTCTTACCAGGCGCCGCTTACTAGTAGCTTGCTAGCTAGTACTAGCTTTGTGAAGTGGACATGGCCTGGTAGATTGGTATTGATGTGGGCTTCGGTTTCCGCATTTAGACTCAAGAGTGGTCCTTTATGCGTCAAGGACTGGTTAGCTAGGTGAGCCAACCAAACTTCTTCCCTGGAAGCGCAGCAGCCATCTGGGGCGTTCACAGGCTTTTAGGAGGGATTTTGTATAGGGAATGATACTTGCCCGTTGTGTGGCCACTTCCTCGCATTCCAGGATTACGTGGGCGGCCGTTTCTTCTACTTCCAGACATCCCCAGCACAGAGGGCTGTCCGTCGCATTGATGATGTCGGTTTAGGGCTAGGTGTCCTGTTATACTTCCGATAACTATTCGGATATCCAGTCTGCTAAGACTGATCAATGTGCAGGTGAGTCGTGGTGTGACTTGAGTCAGCACCAGTTTGGACTGTCTGCAGCCGGGTGAGTTTTTCCACCGACGGTTATGTGCTTCACGAGTCCGTTGCCTGGCCCAGATGGCCTGATAGACACAAGCAGATGAAAGAATGCAAAATCTTATTGTATAAAATGAATTTTTACTTTCATTACTGTAACTTAACTTGAACTTCCTTACATCATTATCAACAGACTTTAATAGTCCATTGCTGGACATGGGCCTTTACTTAGAAAGGAGGTTTTGACCTACTATATGACGCTGGCCAGACGTGTTGGTATAGGGTTTGTAGCATTCCGAGGAGGCCGTGAGCTGCGGCGGAATGGTGTTGGCGGTGTCCTTGGACATCGCCCCCAGAGGATATTAGCCATACGCGGATACCGCACGGTGTCCACCGAGGCAGCTTGCGCCTTGGCCGGAACACCCCCGTGGGATTTGGAGGCGGAAGTGCTCGCCGAAGTTTATCGGCGAGTGGCTGACTTCCGGGCGGAGAGCGGATTTCGCCCTCCGCCCGAAGACGTGCGCGAAGCCGCTCGCCGAGCCACCATGGTCAGATGGTCGTTCCGGCTGGAGACTCCACGCGCTGGCTTCGCCGCCGTGGAGGCTCTCCAGCCGGTCATCGCCGAGTGGGCAGGGCGGCAGCACGGGACCCCTTCCTTCCGGCTGACGCAGGTGCTCCACCCGCATTAGTTTGGCCAGCCGCGAGGGGGCGGCGTCCGCGTGTGCCGGACGTCGCCTAAAGAGAGGAAACATTTTGAGACGGAGCCCGCAACAGGAGCGGGCCGGCGCTGGGAGGGGTCCAGAAGGCAATAACTACCTGGACCCCTCCTAAACTCGAAGCGCAAAGAGGGCACACCGTGTGGTTTTAGTCGGTTCGAGTCCGACACACCGCCCCGCCGAACGAGAGCCCCGGCGGGGTGACGGTCCGATGGGATTTCCACACGTAAAAAAAAAAAAGGGTTTGTAGCATTCCTTCTCTTTGCAGAAGTTCCATAAGCGAACTGTATATTTATTTGGCACCTTAACGGTTACATTACACGACGGGCCTGTTGGTCTAGTGGTTAGTGACCCTGACTGCTAAGGCGGAGGTCGTGGGTTCGATTCCCACCCAACACAAATATTGTGTGATGAGCACGGTCATTTGTTCCGTGTCTGGGTGTAATTTCTCTAAAATATGTATGTATTTAAAAATATATAAGTATGTTTATCAGCAGTCTGGTTACCATAGCACAGGCTGTGCTTATTTTGGGATCAGACGGCCGTGTGTGAGATGTGTGAGGTATATTATATCATTATTATGACCAAAACTGATCGGGTAGTGAGTGGGAGCAGCGTTGGATGACTGGCATATGAGCTATAAATGACCGCTTGTGGCAGTCTCTGGGTCATTGCGCGGCTTATGGCGAAAGTAATAATTCCTTAAGGTTTGTGATCCAGAGGCAGAAAACCTTTGCAAAAATAATGCCGCGCGAAAATTTTCTACGCCTTTTTTCGCCCATAAAGGGAAATTTACAGAATTCAAACTAGCGTTTAATTCGGTCTAGATTACTATGGACGGGTGTAGATTACAAATTCTTCTAGCAAACATGACATATGTCAAAATGACGTCAAAACAAAACGACGTGCTGCTAATTTGAAACCCTCCTGTTAACTAGCAACTGGAAAATGAACCCGGTATTATGATAAACAACAATAACACCAGTAGAAAAACATTATTTTGCAAACATTGCTTATTTGTTTTGCTCTGAGCCGATACTGTGCTGTACCAAGTACGCAATGAATTGCCGTCTTGTTTTGAGTCTCTTACTGGCATTAAGCGTTATAGTAAGCGAATGTAAATATGGGTTTGTGTTGATGAAGGGAAACGAGGTGACCATTAAGGTGACCGACTATTTCGCTGATATCCCTGATGTCCACGTCGCACGTGCTACTTATAGTAACGAAATTAACAGCACTGGGTATGTACCTATTTCTTTATGAACTTAAAAAGTTTGTGTTCATAAAACTTCAGGAGGCTACCTAAAGTTTTATGAACACAAACATTTAAACTCACCTGCCGTTTAAAGTATTACATTTGGTATTGGACGAAAGAGTCGAAAATGAAACGACATTTATTTATACGACATTTATTTTTACGAATATTTTCATCGCAAACTTAGATAACACTGTATGTTGTATTTGTTCAGTTTTACTTTATAACTAAATCCCTGAACCAATTTTAATGTATTAGGACAAGGCAATAGGCTGCTTTTTATCGAAAAATATGGGTGACCTTTTTTACAAAAGACATTATACGAAAAAGAAGTCGACAGCACCAGCCACCACCAGATGTATGTTTTATTTAATAAGTTTACTTACCAACATCTACATTATTAGTGGTAAGATGCATTCCAATCGACTAAATTCAGACGGTGGAATGAAATTTCTGTGAATACAGTAAGAAAACCTTGTGAATCCCGACAAACGGCTGCCTGTATTACGACCCAACACACCACTGTGGTTTACGGTAATCTTTCTCCTTGTCAGTCAACCACAGCTGCTGATAGCCTCTTCCGTCGCTCCAGGCAAGCGTTCTTGAAAGCCCCAGATCGACTTGCTCTCTATAACACATGCTGTACGAGATTGCGTGAGAATATTAGTTCTCTACCGTTAAATTTTCGTTGCTTCTTTAGCATACACTGCCTCGTCGCAAAATGAGATAGCGGAACCTGTCTTGCTCTGGACCATGGCCATAATAACAGTCTCCAACAGACTGATGCTGCTGCGTAGAACACAACTGCCTCTGCAATGGTGGCACACAGGATGTTGCCTCACTGACAATGCGACACTATCACTTTCCGTACTTTATCATCCGTATTCGGTTATCTGTAATCCAGTAGAAGAATCTGTCATCATCCTGCCTTAAGCCTATTCCTAATGACGAGTCTTCTCCCACAAACATAGGTTTAATGAAAGCATCTGATTTGTCTTTATTAGGGTATAGCTAATACTTGATCTTCTACGGTACTATCCATACTGATGTTCTTTTTTAATAATGGGTGGTGAATTCTTACATATTACCTGCTATTTCATATACCTACTACAGTTTCCGTGTAGTGACGGATTAAGAATACGGAATGTCACTACCCCAATTCATCCGTGGGTGTTGTAAGAGCCGACTAAGGGCACAAAACAAGGCAGGACACCAGCACTGCAAAAAGAAGAAAAACTTGACACAAACCCTATACCAACCCGTCTGGCCAGCGTGGTGGAGGTTTTGGCCTACTATAGGCCAAAACCTGACCTGACCAGTGATGTGACTACAGTTTCAATTATATAGACATATTCAATTATAAGCACTTCGGTTCGGTTTTTAAAGTGCTTTACTCATGTATAAATTGAACCCTCGGTATGGGTAGGTCGTATTAAGTACTCCAGAATGTGTCACATCAACCGCCTATACTAGTCCACTGCTGGACATAGGCCGCTCCTTAGAAAGGAGGTTTTGGCCTACTATACCACGCTGGCCAGACGGGTTGGTATAGGGTTTGTGTCAAGTATTCCTTCGCTCTGAAGTGCTGTTTTCTTGCGTCCCCTTAGTCGCCTCTAACGACACCCACGGGATGACTAGGGGTGGTGACACTGTATTCTTAATCTGTCACCACACGGATCAAGAATGTGTATTAATATTCATTGTTGTAGTTGGGCATTCCTGGAGTTGCACACCTCAGTCTACTGTCACGATGAGAAGCAGGCGTACGCAGCTGGCTATCTGGAAGGTTACCTCACTAGAGAGCTGGTTTGGATGCACTGGCAGAATATGCTTAAAGGGTAACTTGATTATTCATAACAAATCGTTTGATACGTCAGCGTATAACTGTTCCTAGATATATCATCAGCGCATGTGTATTGTTGTATATTGGGGTTTATGTAACTTTATAATGGCTAGTCTATTTGGAGTTAACATTAATCGTTTCTTGACGATGTCCATCGCGTTTTAAAGGCCGTGATTACAGTACAGTATTGTCAAGCTTCGAGAGACGAAAGTACGCCTGCTACTAAGATTACAAAGATTCCATTTCTGCAGCTTGCACCTTTGTCTACGTTTGTCAAAATCTGTAATCGTTTTGGGTGCAGCGATAGATGAAAATCTTCATTTTAATGAACAGTTCATGACACATTTTTAATCGTCCGCACGTCGCGTCGGTACTGCACTGCAAATATGTTTTACGAAAGAAATAAATATCCATCAGTATTTACAACATTATCGTGTGACCTTTTTACGGTAAATTATGTTACTTAAGGTTGATTAAGGGCAATCGATAATCTAACGAATTCTTATTTTTTTACACAATTTAAATAAAAAACAAGCACACAATTATTCTGATTATTATTATTATTAGCCTAATTTTTATGACTCTTGTAGCCGTGGCAATTCTATTCGCCGGAAGGAAAGAATAGGAGTTTTCTTCCGTAGGGTGTATAATAGGGGGATGGTGGCGAGACGTGCTGCGGCGCGCGTGCTCCCTTTCGGCAGCACAAAGGGGACATACGGGTTCCATAGTAGATGGCCCAAGGTACGTCAGGGTATCAGGGATTTCCTTCCTAGGGTAGGGTACACCTGGTTTCCCGACAACTGGTACCCGAGACGGCGTGCGGTATAACTACCGGTGGTATCCAAGGAGATTTCCGAACAGAAAAAAAGGGTGTATAAAAGCTGAGACCTAAGAATGAAAAATTAGTTGTTGCTGTAATTCTGTAATTTTTGTTTTAGTTATTGTTACAACAAGACTGATATATGTGGTATGATTGAAGACTTCGTTACCAAGAATGAAATGTATATGAATAAGATGCTAGAGGCGGATCCTGTAAATCCTTACTGGTATCAGGTATTTATATATTTTAAAACTTAAAGCACAAATTTTACAGAGGCATACTTAATGCCAAGGCATTATCTGTCAGTCAATCTTGGGAACCTGGGTAGGAACCTCGTTTGTGTCCTTGTTAGGGAGACGGTAACTTAAACGAAGACAAACTTTAGTACTTACGATTATGTGTTAGAAATGATGATGGGTTAGAAAAAGTCGATACCGATACAAAAAATTACTAAGTCGATATCGATATATAAATTAGCATTATTTACGCTCCATTAGCTTTCCAATCAGTTGCTCTGCTTACAATTTTTAAGTAAAGGATTGATGTATTATTATGAAATTATAGTTTCATTTAGCTGTACTGACATATAGAGAATCATAAACTGTTTTATTCATTTATAAATTTTCCACCTTCCGAAAATATATTGGCATATATCATCCCAAATTAAAAATGGTTTATAAATAACAATAGTTCTGGCCAAATTGAGAACTTCCTTCCTTGAGTCCCTTAAAAATTGCTATGTGTGTGCAGGTGAAACTGTATTACATTCAAATCCAAGGTTTGGCGGATGGGTACAACGCTGCCACTCACGACCCATATGAGTTCCTCACCAGCAGAGATATTGTGTTAGTATCTTTCAGTAAATTATCAATTTAAGACTAGATTTAGTGCTACTTAAGGTTGAATTTCTCACATCCTGTCAGCTGTGTCGACTGTCTCACTCGCTCTCACACCAGCGTGGGTATGGTATGGGGAGACAACCAAGGCGGTTGTCACCTGATGGTAAGGGACTACTGCCGTCTATAGTTTCCTGCAACTCAAGTGTCACAAGTGCGTTGTCACTCTTTCAGTCTCTCCCCCTAAAATCATTAGAAGGGGGAGGGTTTGGACTCTGCTAACCTCAATCTCTTGGTGAAAAGTAACGGAAGACCTTCTTAACATCGGATTTCTGTGAAGCCGTGGCATCACTCCGGTCGAGCCTGACCCATCTGTGCCGAAGCCGAATAATAAATGAAATCTTCTTTTCGTAGATGGATCAATATGTTAGGCGACCTGGACGAGCTCGCTCTTTCTCTATCCTCAGCAAATTATAGCGATGATCAACTCTTCGATGAACATTGCACGGGTCTGGTGAAGTTACTGCCTGACTGGTCTAATTTGTACACATCACATGTCACTTGGAACAGGTAACGGCAGATTCTTAATCAATATCATCATCATCATCAACAGCCTATAACAGTCCACTGCTCGCCAGACATACGCCTCTCCTTAGAAAGGAGGTTTTGGCCTACTATAACACGCTGGCCAGACGGGTTGATATAGGATTTGTTTCAAGTTTTCCTTCTCTCTGCAGTGCTGTTGTCCTGCGTAGTTTGCTCCCTTAGTCAGCTCTTACAACTCCCACGGGATGTATAGGGGTGGTGACATTCCGTATTCTTAATCCGTCACCACACGGACTTAAGCTTGGTATATTATGAATTTAATGTTTTACAGCTGAAACAACCTAAAAATCCTGTGGCTATAATTGAGGTTCTAGTCTATAACAACCAGGAAACTACTTCTTGACTGACCTGTTGGTCTAGTAATTAGTGGCTCTGACTGCTATGCCAAAGGTCGTAGGCTCGATTTCCATCCAGGCCAAATAATTGTGAGATGAGCATGATCATTTGTTCTGTGTCTGGGTCTAAATTTATCTAAAACTAGCGGACCCGACAGACGTTGTCCTGTCAAATTTGACACTGCGATGGTAGCGCCGTCTGTCTGATCCAATGTAAAACATTCCAAAATCAACAACTACTAATAAATTAAAAATTAATTAAAAAAACATTGTCCAGCGGACAAAATTGTGAATCTAAACCATTCCCAGATCCCCTTGAACACACACAAAAATTTCATCAAAATCGGTCCAGTCGTTTGAGAGAAGTTCAGTGACATACACACTCACAGAAGAATTATATATATAAAGATATGTATGTATTCAGAAATAGAATAAGTATGTTTATCAGCAGTCTGGTTACAACAGTACAGGCTTTACCTAGTTTGGGATCAGACGGTTATGTATGAGATTTATGGTTTTTATTTTAAAAAAAGTTAGCTAGTTTTGGTTTTTGTAGTTCACGCAGTTAGACACAAGATTCTTTGTAGGGTAAGCAAACCCTTCCGGCTTCTTTACGAGACACTAGAAATCGAATTGAGAACTTGGAGAAGTTTGACCCCGAGAATAATCAATATTTAAAGGGTTTTCCGCTATAACTTTATCTGGGTCGCTTACAAATGTTTATTCCTCAAAGAAGCGAAAACCCCTGTTAATGTAAATTACAATAATGGGTTGGCAATATCAAATATAATACAGAGCATCCAAAAATATTCGCCATTTCAAATTACTTTAGAGTGCTCTCTGGTGAAAATAAAAACCGACTTTAAAAATTACGTCATCATCAGTCCGAGTATTATTTAAAATGACTAGTTTGTTTTATTTACTTTCAGTTACCAATCTATGCTCCGGATACAAAAAATGTACGTGATGAATCTACACTTGGCTCCAGGCAACGCTCAAATTATACCCGGTTATAAAATGTCGATGTCATCATATCCGGCGTTTGTCCAGGTACAAGAATAACATGAACAACTTTTTTTTGCGTAGTAACACTAATTTCGTTTGTCACTATTTAAATTTTGTCAGTCCTTAGTTGTTTTAATTAAGAAATCTATAGTCCATCTAATCTAAGAGGTACTGTTTGACAGTTCTGATAGATTTAAGCATAGCGATGGGGTCAAAGAAATCGATTACTAAAATTTCGGATTCTTAAGAGATTTCGATATCATTTCTTAATATGTACCTACTATTACAGTTTTACAGATTCATGTATGTTACTATAAAAGCCAATGTAATGGCACATCATAGATTTTACTAGTAAATCTTAGTATACACTAGATTTGGACACGAGCGATTTTGGCCTACAAAGATTTATTTAAATGACATTAACTTACATACTTTTAATTTTATTTATGCGTTTTCGTTGAGATTTGGATGTCAAATTGAGTATTATTAAAAACTTTAAGGGTTGTGGACTGAAAATTACTCGTTATTAATAAATTCTTTTAACGATTATTCGTATTCAAGTGAATTTGAAGAGCCGCACAGTACGGTAAAGGACCTAACTGCGTGACTTTAAAATGAAGACTCAAAAAAAAACATCTATTGTGTATAATTTGGTTATTTTGCTTTGTTTCAAAAATTTAAACTTAAATTTAGTCATTAAGAATTGTATATCTTGCGACAAAATAAAAATTCCTACATAACTCCATGGTTTTAGAGAACAGGTTATTGAAATTGTGTGAGTTACGCCTATACAAAGTTATTTTGTCTTAAAAAGTATGAAACGTCAAACGGTACCTCTTAGATTAGATGGACTATAGCTTCTTTTATACATTGTCTGTGGCCTATTTATTATTTTTTCTTTTGTATGTTCTTAACACTATGATAAGTATAATAACCATGCCAATTGGTGAATCGGTCTATATGTAGAGTAGCTATTACACATATAAAATTACCTGTAGTCCAATCGCGTTAAGAAATAAATAGTGACGCATCGAGCAAGCCTCACCCCTGGACCAATCAGGATTCAAGAAATTATCGTTTCGTACAAAAGCTTGGAACCTGATTTTTCAGCGCCTTTATTGATACGAAACCATTGCGTCACTATTTTCTTAACGCGAATAGACTACCGTCCGTTGTAAAACGATAGGTAAAACATGCACCTACATAAAAATTAATGTTTTTAAACGATATACTCAGAGTAATGATTATTCAACTTAGATTAACGTACCTGCTCACATATACATAGGTATTATTATAATTGTGATACGTTGTCAATTATTAAGTTAGTCAAAGTGTGTCAAGTCAAGTGTGTTTCATTTGATTAGCAGTTTTGGATATTTTGTAAACAATGTGTGGTCAGTCCACAGACGACTTCTACATAATATCTTCGGGGCTGGTGGCTGGAGAAACGACCATTGGAAACAGTAACAGAACGCTCTTTCAGTATATCAGCCCTCATGGACAGGTGATTGTTCATCTTTTAATATGTTCGACCATTTCATCTGATGTTCTTTTTGTTACTTGACTCTGTTTTCTTTTTTGATGTGAAACATCTAATGCGGAGCGTCAGACCGGCTGTTGAAGTGGCAACGCGTCGCCATGCTACGTGATAGTATACATATCATGCAATGCGGTGTGACGACGTGTCGTAACACATGATTTTGAAGTTTTACATTTGCCAGACGTCCCGCGACGTCTAATTTTTTTTTAAACTTTATAGCACATATTATTTAAATTTTTTAGCTTTCTGCTCTTTATCTACAACAAACATTCAGTGTTCCGAATACATGTGTTTCCGTTCACATTATTTGTTTAAAAAGGAGTACAAAGAATTTTCTTCACTTATTCAAATATTGAAAATTTTGTATTGTTAGGTATTGGAGTACGCTCGAGCGATGGTGGCCAACCGTTTGGCCCGCAACGGCAAAGAGTGGGTAGAAATTTTCAGGAAACATAATAGCGGTACCTACAACAACCAGTGGTAAGATTTCCAGCACCTACGCTCCACCACCTAGAACTTTATCTATGTAATAAATAAGATGCGACTTATAATTCTAGACGGTAATAAGACTTGGAAAAAGACCCAACTAGACTTACACTTAGCTTAACTTTTACTGTGTGTTCTAGAACGCAAATAAATATATTGTACCTAATAGCCAAATCCTTGCAAATTCTCCAATTATTGTAACAGTTTCTAAATTTTGCATCTTAAACTCCAATGCGTGCCAATTTGCCAAAAGCATACACAAAGATCTCAAAGGTATGTTCAACATTTTTGGACACCAATCAAATGACACCATCACGCAAGGTCTATTTTAACGCATCGATCTTCAAATTAAATGCTCAGAACATCTATGATAAGAACCTGACTCATCGCTGTCTCACGTTTGCTTCTTGTCACCAAGGCCATGAACTAAAGACTCTTGACGATTGTCCCATATGACTTTCTATTTATGTTTTTTTTAAAGTCGATCACAGATACATGTAGGTCCGAAATAGCTTTGCCATTTTTAAAGATTATCTTTTGAGAGCAATAACATTTTATTCCTAGGTACATAGTGGACTACAAGAAGTTTAGGCCGAGGACTTCACGTCAGAAAGGCGCCATCAAACCTGGTCTGCTGTGGGTCGTAGAGCAACTGCCTGGATACATGGAAGCTGCGGATTTGTAAGTACATTTAAAAATACTTGTGTACTGAGTAACTTTAGGACGATTATTTTTATGTATTGATTTAAACTACCATAGTCATTTTCACTTGTTAAGTTATCAAAAACGGGTTATTTACCATGTTTTTCTGGACTTAGTTTCCGTTATTTCGGCACTGTTGCAAGCGCTACGATCACGGATGAACTGAGTAACTGCGGGTAGAAAGTTCTTTCTTAGTGCAGACAAATATGTCTACCCTCTTTCTAGTTCGGTTGCGTGCGTCGCCATTAGTTTCACCACTACCACTGTTCTCACTACTATCTAGTGCTGAGATCGATGATTTCTAATCATCATTTTACAAATATGTGGATTCTGAATGCAATACTTTATCAATCTGTTTCCAAAAAATAATACTCTGTGCTAAATATGAATTTACTCCAGAAGAAAGCCATTAAGTACAACATGAGTTCAGAAATTAGCCAGTTAGCCAATCGGCAAAATAATATAATAATAATAATATATCTCACACATATCACACACGGCCGTCTGAACCAAACTAGGCAGAGCCTGTACTATGGTAACCAGACTGCTGATAAACATACTTAAATATTTCTAAATACATAAGTACATATTATAGTTAAATTACACCCATGCACAGAACAAATGACCGTGCTCATCACACAATATTTGTCCTGGGTGGGAATGGAACCCACGACCTCCGGTTAAGTAGTCAGGGTCACTAACCACTAAACCAACAGGCCCGTCAAATAATAATTTTTATTTTTCTTAGGACAAAAAAGTTCAAAGAGTTAGGCTATTTTCCATCATACAATATCCCTTTGTTTCGTCGAGTCTTCAGCCTGAGCGGTGGCAACGTCAGAGTAGCCACCTTCGGCGAGTGGTTCGGGTACAGAACCAACCCCAGAGCCAAGATTCTTAGTGAGAAGCAGGTATAATGCTAACATATAAACAAATATTAATCGTGAATTCGTGACACAAACATATTGACAAGTGTCTTGAACATACATTTAGATTTTATTTAAAAAAAATGCAGTTTTCTTCATCCATTCTTATTGATCACTCGACATCCTCTTTGTTTTGACTTTTTCTCTTATGGCAGCCCTTAAAAGAAAATTAAAAAATATACCGACCCCAATTAGAATTGGGCGCTGGAAAGAAAGAATAATCCACGGAAACCATGCGAAAAACTTTCTTCAGCGACTTCTACAAAATAAAAACCTAAGACTTCTTCCGGAGGGGGGAGGGAACAAGCCTCACATTTTGATATTCCTCAATTTTGTTTTCCAGGCCAATATCGGCAATTTGCGAGATATGTATTTCACAATGCGATACAACGATTATAAGCATGACCCATTATCTCGATGTGAAAACTGTGACCCCCCATACTCCGCTTGCAACGCCATTGCAGCCAGAAATGATCTAAACCCGGCAAACGGTAAGTGATGTTCTAACTACTATACTAAGTTTATTGCAAAAAATAAACGAAATAAAATCATCATTTTGAATAATTTGTGTAGGTAGTTATTACGCATTCTAGAACCTATATGATGATACACTTGTAGAATTCATATTTTAATTTTGTTTATATATATATCTAAATAAAAAAATAGTAGATAGTAATGCTTTCGATGTCCCTTTACCATCTAGCATTAAAAAATGAGTATACGTATTGCAATTAAAGCGATCAAATTATCTTAGTCAGTTTGTGACTACGCCGATCGTAGTCCTGTGACCTGGTCGAAACTTGAGGCCTCTTAAAAAGTAGTAATACCTGTTGGATATCTATAACTGTTTCTACTTATTATCAAATTTCTACGTGATAGCGTTAATTCTCGTATGTGTACTCAATTATATATCATGCTACGCGAAAGTATGAAAGTTAGTTATTAAAAAAACTAATATCTTATAGATAGTTCAACTCAGTTGTGCGCGCGGCCCTATGTGTGCGTGGGCTTGAAAATATACAACTTTCATTCGTGTGGCAGTCGTCGTCCGACTGCCGCGTCACACATAGGGCCGCGCGCACAACTGAGTTGAACTATCTATACCTACAATCAATTACATTGTTAAATATATATATTTAAAAATATAATGCTATGTCATACCTAAACTTGCTAGTCAACATGAAAACAATGCTTTCGTAATTCAGGATCAACAGTTACGAACAGTTTGTTAGTTCGGCATGATTTCGCTAGATGGCGACAGTACATTCACGTAACGTTTGCAGGGACTTTTCCATTTCGTGCTCTTGGTCATCGTAGCCACGGTGCAACAGACGCTAAGATAACAAGCGCGTATCTCAGAACCAGCTATAGGTTTTTGGCAGTCGCCAGCCCTCCGCACAACATCTCCAGAGGAATACCTCCTTTTCAGTGAGTATCTAGCGTAGAGACTTTATGCAGAAGGAAGAATGGACTAAACAGACGAAAGGGATTTCGAGGAAGAATCCTGCAGTTCTGTTAGTCACAAAAGTTTTAGTTGGAGTGCCATTACAGATATTAGGAAGGATAAGGTAACTTTAAAGTCTCGCTATGTCCGTCTTTGCCACGGGGATAAAAAAAGCTTGGGTATGTACGGTAGTTATTTTATTTAAAACAGGCAGCAAGAATATGTAGACTCCAAGAAAGTGTAGTAATGTATCCCTTCCGCACTACAAGTTAAATCTGTCAATCTATCTGTATTAATCAAGTAAAATATTTGAAAACAGTCATGATGGGAGATTAAAAAACGTACTGAGAAGAAAAAAACCGGTCAGGTACAAGTCGAACTCGTGCGCCGAAGGTTTCGTACCTCTCCAGATTTTACGTAGATTTCCGCGTTTTTTTTTATTTAACTTTTTTTGATTTTTTGGAATTATTACTTTATTTGTGCTGTAAGACCTTTCTTTTTGCTAAATTTCGTGATTGTAGGTCAACGGGAACTACCATATAGGTTTTCGACCCAAAACCTATAGGGTACTTCCGTTTCCCTAGAATTGTCAATTTTGGTTAAAAGCAAGGTCTTACAGCACAAGTCAAGAGAAAATTCTGAAAAATAAAAAAGTTGAAAATTAAGGTAAATTTTTGTACTTACAAGTTTTCGCGAAAATCGAAATTTGCCTATATATTTTTATCGTGTTGACTCAGGACCTTGAGTTTTATACACCTAATAGGGACCACAGACTTCAGTATGTGGTATAAATTTCAACTTGCTAGGTCTACAAGTTCCTGAGAAAATCGGCGGTGACACGGACAGACGGACAAGATAGTGATCTTATAAGGGTTCTTTTTTTACCTTTTGAGGTACGGAACCCTAAAAATTATCTTGAATAAGTTCTGTTAGTTTAAAAATAAGTACTTCAACTTACAAAATCCTACATAAATTCACGTTCTTTCTCGACGGGGTAGTCAGTAGCCAGCCTACCTCTTCAGGTAAGTAAGAGTCAATGTATGTCTAAAAGCTGCTTGTTAATAATCATATGTTTTAATTGATGCGACTTAAACTATATGTCGGGACATCTTTCTATTTCTGTGTCACGTTGCAAACCATCGGGAATATTACATAGTTTTTAAGAGCAATTTGTGTAATTTTTAAAACCAATGGCAAGGTTGACATTTAAAATGTCAATTGTTAGTTATTATAGTTGCATGCTTAGTTTTAAGGCAGAATGTACAGGGTTCATTTGGAACCATTCCATCTTTATTTTCTGTGCGGAAATCCTCTCGGATTCCTACCGGTGGTTATGTCGGACCTTAAACCAACTAAAAACGACGTCTCGGGTACCAGTAGCCGGGGAAACAGGTGTGAAGGAAATCCCTCGGAAGGAAATCCCTGGTAAACTGAAAAGAACCTGACCCCCTCGTGTGTGGGAACCACGGTGTTCCCGTTCTACTCCATAGAGGGAATAATTTGGGAGGTAATTTGATGTATTAACATTCATAGCAAATAAAGTTTAATTTGATTTCATTCAATCAAATTTTGATTTCAACGATATGCTATATTTCAATTATGCGTATAACATAATCGTTAAACTGATATAAATAAGTACTACTTAATTTAATTTTTATTACCTACTAGTTCTCGAATTTTATTTGTTTTTCTGAATTCTCAACCACGAAGGCAAGAAATGTTTTCTTCGCCCGTGCCTATAGCTTCAAATACTAAACAAAATCCATCTCTATTTAGGTGGAGTAAATTTGACTTGGGAAAGACGTTATCTCACGTTGGACATCCAGACGAATGGCTATTTCAACCGCTTCTCCACGATTGGGAGTGGGAGTAAGTTAAAACGTTACCACCTTGTTATAAGGATCAATATCACCATATAATAAATATAAGGATCATACGGCTTTGTCTAAGTGAAGTCGTAAGTGATTTTATTTAAGATTGGATTTGATTAAAGGAAGAACTGAATACACACTAACGTCTAAAGAATTTATAAGTTGCCCAGCTGTGGGATAACATGTCTCGACCTATCACAACAACAATGCCAGCGTCTTTCGGTGTGTAGGAACCAGAGGATAATAGAAAAGGCCAATGGGCAGGCGAACGTTCACAAGCATTGCAGGTCGTGTGCTTGTTTGATACTGTAGTAGTATAAAGATTAGATGTCATCAGGTGTCAAACGAACAATCATGTAAATTATATACTAGCCATAGTTTTTGTATAAAAATGTATTTTATAAATAAATCAGTTTTTCTGCACAATTCACATTATTTGTTTGGGGTCAATTATTAGGCGGGTCCACGCAGAGCAAGCCACATCGCGAGGATTTGCCTCAGCTGGGACATGCACGCGCGCCGCCTCGGTCGAGCGACAGAGCGGCCGAACCATGGAGCGTCGGTATGTTTGACTCAAAGGCGGCTCGGTCGCTTAATGCGCTTCGAGTTGTTCCGTGCCTCGCTCGAGCATGGGACTAATCCCACCCACACGCCCACCACTGTAACTCCTGTACACCAGGATCCACAGCAGTGACCCACGAACACACCGAGTTATGACACTCGGGAAGTCCCAGGAAGAAATTAAACTGTCTTGGAACCCGCAACGAAATTAATCAGAAGAAAATTGGAGGAGTTGGAAATACAGTAAATCCACTTCCCTCCTTAGCAAAGCGGGAGACAAAATGAAGTAAAATGGGCATACACCCTTTTAATCAGGGAAGCACCACGGCCACAAATATTACGGGTCCTACGTGAGCTATGTTTGATTTCTATAATATGTATGGCAGAATCGCCTAAACGCACGGAAATTCACCCTTATGCCCTTATGCTCGAGCATATCAATCTTTGACATAGATTGTTTTGAAATGCTAAAGGGATACTGCATTTTTTGGACATTATGTCTTAACTCTCAACCGATGATATCGACGCTCTTTCGGGGACAGTTTTCTAGCGAAGCATTTGCTGCTTGTTTTAAATGCGACATCTGGTATCTCACCTATCATCTGATGGCAACTCTGGCATCACGCGCGCTCATTAATAAAAAAAATAGCGCGCGATTCCCCGACTTCCTGTTACATGCTTCCGTCTCCTTAACGGAACTACTGGCACAAATTGCGAGCCAGCGAGAAGCAATACAAGATTTTTTTGCAAATTATCAACATCTCCCTTCTTTTTTTGTCTGTGCGGCAATCCCTTCGGATGCCACCGGTGATTATGTCGGACATGAATCGGGGAACCAAGAGTACCCTAGGAAGGAAATGGATTTGTTTTTTTAAATCTATAATAATAGAGAGGCTTGAGGATGCTGAGGCTGTATATTTTATAGGTACTATTATTCTTTTCCTCTATACATAAAAAAAATGAAAAAAAAAACATTCTAAATAAGCAATATTTTAATTACTCTAATATTAACCAATAAACAAGGCTAATTTACACTTTTATATACAGTATGTTTTCTTACTAAGTAATATAGTAGATTCAAAATCCATTCGTTATCTAAATACAAAAAAATAATTGTAAACGAGTATGTTACATTCACTGCATGTCTCCCACAATATATGCAAGTATTTAAATAATATACAGAACATGTACAAATATGTAAAACAAAATAGGCGATCACAAGAAAATCTTTTAATTGTTGGCAACACTGGTGCACTCCTTTACAAAAAATAATAATTCAGGAATGCCTGACAAATTACGGACGCAACAGGGTCCACCCACTTTTGCTTTTGTCCACCAGTTGTTACCAGTTTAATGAGAACAATAATTATTAATTTATTGCAAAGCAACGAGAGAATTGTTTAACACCGGTTTTCTTCAAAGCCGTTGATCACTCTGGTCGAGCTTGCCCATTAGTGCGGAGAGAGTTTAAACTCAACTGAGTTTCAGGTGTCCTTGGACGGCGGTAATCATTTACCCTCAAATCGAGGTGATTTGATACTATGCCAAGAATGAGTGGCTTACTTTTTTGCAAAGACGTGTACTAATTTGTATTTACCCACAATAAATATATTACTAGTGATTGTATAAAACAATTCAACATTACACACTGAATCATTTGAGAATATAATATATGTTTTAAGCATTAAAATAATTTGCTAGATTCTCCAGGTGGAATGGTTGAGTATTCTTTATACAAGCTAATATATTAACAGCGATAAAAATGTTACACTTCATTTAAATAGGTATTTTACAGACGCTGCAGTAATTACATTCAATTAACAAGTAGATAACTGTAAATTGGTCTAGAGAAATTGAAATTAGAAAAAGACGAAATAATTCTGTTCTTTTTTTAAATTAAATTTTAGTACTTTCGATTTCTTTTTTTTGTTTTTTGAGGGTAGACCAATAATTGATTTTTTTTTAATTTAAATTGGTCCAGTCGTTCTGGAGATATAAATGGTGTCAGTAACCAGTCTTTGTTTCATTTATTTAGTTAAGTAAATAAAGATACATAAAATTTAATTTTATTGTCACATATTTTGGGCTCTATCATGAGACTGTACACCACACAAGTCAATGAAGACCTTATGACTCTTCAAGACATAAATCTAAGTAAGGAATTCCATGACCACATTCTAGTTTGATCATCAGCTTTGTGTTGTCTTATAATAATAAAGACTAAACATTGGTTGGAGGTTGAATATTAACTATAATTAATTACTATGTTTTATTGTTTATAACTTTAGCTGTCTTTTGTTACCTTTTTTGCTCTCCCTTTATTAAATTTTCCTAAGAATGGGTGTAAATATTTTTCCAAAAACTAATTTCAAACTGCTGTGACCACACTGAACCACATACCATGTCTTATTTCAATCAACAGTAACGACTCTTGGCTTTCAATATAAATACTGCAGCATCACAATGATTATAACCTTAGAGAATCAACTTAGTTTTGCATCAACTTGCACTCGATGGTGACCGCGTTTGACATTGCGATTGGTGAAAAGTTGTATGCGGGCTAATCACAAAGCTAAATGCACAAATGACGAATCTTGTTACTCTAAGGTTATATTAGAATAATACCAAGTTAAGTAGGATGACTAAGAAAAGAGCCATCTACGACATTTCAATAACAATTTGATACACATACTTTAGTGATACCCACACTATAAATTAATTACCTATTCTAAGGAGTTGAGCATAAGCAATTGCTTCAATACTTTAGTTTGTGATGTCTCTCGGATCTCACCTGCGAGGAACATTTCATCCACCACTGTGTACACCTGGAACATATTTAATTATGTGGATTACTCATATTTTAATAATAATTATTATCTTCATACATCTCACACAGCCGTCTGATCTCAAACTAGGCAGAACCTGTATTATGGTAATCAGACTGCTGTTAAATCCGTACTTATATTACAAATGTGAAAATTAAGTTTGTTTGTTTGTTTGCACTCTTACGCCTAAACCTATTATTTTTATTTTTATTTACCAATGGAAAGCTACATTATCAGCGAGTATAGGCTACTATTTACCACGATAACCAACATTTATGCTGGTGGAGCCACCAAAGACTAGGTACACTAGTTTTTAATTAAAAGTAAAAATTAAAAGCAAAAGTCAAATTACACCCAGACACAAAACAAATGACCGTGCTTATCACACAATTATTTGTCCTTCATGGGAATTGGTGCAGGTCTGCCGTTATTATTGTTCTTGGTAATAACTTTTTAATATGTCCATGGTAATAAAGGACAAATTCAAATTTTTTAAAATTTAAATTTGCTCTAACTTAGATCCATTTCAAGATACAGGACACAAACTAGCAGGTGGGAGTGGGTGATAATTTCAGGAATCAATAGGTTTTAACTACATTCTTATTTCATATTACAAAAAATGAGGTAGACTACATAGAACAAAAGTAAAATTGAACAAATACCTTATAGAAGTTAAAGACAAGGTCCAGTTCACACACATTATGAAAGTACTCATTTAGTACTTCAACAAAATTGTGTATGGCTTCTAAATAGCACAAGTTGTTATCATTTACGTCCACGCATATGCAAAAGTATAGACCGGCATACCTCCTGTACACTATTTTGAAGTTTCTAAACTGAAATGTAAAAATTCCGGTGAGATTCCTTCTGATATTATTACTATTAATTTGATTTTTAAGAGAAATGTAATGTATCTTACCTCAACGAAATTGGTATGCTTCGCATCTCTTACAGTAACTACAGCGTGTACCTCTTCAATGAGCTTCTGCTTCTCGTCATCATCAAAGTTCATGTACCATTTCGCCAATCTAGTTTTGCCAGCACGATTTTGGATTAAAATGAAGCGAATCTGTAAAAGTGTATAAAAGTAATCATCACCCACATTGTTGATAACACAATGGTAAAGCTAACTGTAGATATTTAAACAGTTTACCATTTTATTTTATTATAGTTTAAAATGTTTGAGAATTCAATAAGATTTCTCTGTCGACGCCTCCTTTTCTATCAAATTTGACAATTCAAAATATTTTACGTCAGAAGCAAAACCATCTATATTGTCAATGGAATTATATTGATTATTTAAACACTAATGTGTAATTGTATGAGCATTGATTCTTATAAGATTTCCAAATTAGTGATAATACCAAAAACATATTACTAGCAAAAATAAAAGCCTGATTTTTAAATATGAATGATACCTGTAACATAAAAAACCTTTGGTCATACTTGTCTCTGATTCAATTTAATGTTGCAACTTAAGGTTACTTTAGTAGACTAGTAACTCAAATGTTCATACTAATTTGTGAATATTAAGAAGTAATATTGTTTTTTTATTATTATTCGTCATTTACAGATACATGTCATTTTATATGAAGTATTTTAGACGCAGATAAACAATTTTCAAACCAGAATTTTTTAAATATAATCGCTCGAGTTAGTAAGCTTTGAACATGAAGTAATGGCAACACAAATATCGAATTGTTTTTCAATTTTCCAGTGGATTTTTGACGTTGCTACTACTTGCTCGTTTTTATCAAGTTTTCCTCTATGTAGTGCTTAGGTTTCCATAATGTCTGTAATATAAGTAGTTTAGTAGGCAAATAAACATTATAAAATTTAAATGACGCCCACGAAAACAACAAAAACTGAAGTAGAAATGGTGATACGGAATAGAAAAACTGTTATGAAAGACGGGATTATGACAATGTCTGGCATCGGCGAGCCCTCTGTGTTCCACGCTCTGGTGGTGATATTTCTGGAGTTTTTCGCGTGGGGACTGCTCACGATGCCCATTATCTCTGTGCTGAACGTTACATTCCCGGATCATACGTTTTTGATGAACGGTTTAATAATGGGTATCAAGGGCATCCTATCATTCCTGTCTGCGCCACTGATCGGCGCGCTGTCGGACGTGTGGGGTCGCAAGTTCTTCCTGCTGGTTACAGTGTTCTTCACCTGCGCACCAATCCCTCTCATGACCATCAACACATGGTGGTTCTTCGCCATGATAAGCATCAGTGGTGTGTTTGCCGTCACGTTTTCGATTGTGTTCGCGTACGTGGCTGATGTAACTACAGAAGCAGAGCGCTCACGGGCTTACGGCCTTGTTTCTGCCACCTTCGCTGCTAGCATGGTGATCTCACCCGCTTTGGGTGCTTATCTTATGGATTTATATGGTGAGGCCTTAGTGGTCGCTACTGCTACAGCTGTCGCCATCCTGGACGTGTTTTTTATCATGGTTGCAGTGCCAGAGAGCCTCCCAGAAAAAGTTCGGCCAAGTGGTTGGGGACCTGCTATAAGCTGGGAACAGGCCGACCCATTTGCAGCATTGCGTAAAGTTGGTGCGGAACGTACAGTGTTAATGTTGTGTGTGGCAGTGTTTCTGTCCTACCTCCCAGAAGCTGGACAATACTCTTGCATATTTGTGTATTTAAAACTAGTGATGGGCTTTGACGTTGTGGAAGTGGCAATATTTATTGCAATTGTAGGAGTGCTCAGTATTGGTGTCCAAGTAGTTCTTGGTTTTCTGATGAGATCACTCGGAGCTAAACATACTATAATGGTTGGACTGCTGTTTGAAATGTTACAGCTTATGTGGTATGGCTTTGGTAGCCGAAGATGGATGATGTGGGCTGCTGGAGTGCTGGCTGCACTCGGCTCTGTCACCTACCCTGCTATTAGTGCTTATGTATCGGTAAATAGCCGAGCAGACAGGCAGGGAGTAGTGCAAGGCATGGTGACAGGGGTGCGTGGACTGTGTAACGGTCTAGGCCCAGCCATGTTTGGAGTGATATTCTACTTATTCCATGTAGACTTGAATGAGGAGCATGCAGTAGCAGGAAAGCCGATGGAAGAAAAGTATGTGCGCATGGTGCCAGGCCCGCCGTTTGTGCTGGGCGCTTTGCTAGTGATTTGTGCGCTTTTGGTGGCTGCGTTTCTACCTGAGGATGGATCGGCAGGCGCGCGGCGAGCCCCGCCCGACCTGCGCTTCGAGATGGAGTGCGGTCGGCGCGTGGCGGGCCCGCTGTCGCCGCTTATGGCGCCAGAATCAGCAGCGCTCTAGCTAGCGGTGAAGGCCGGCCGCGCGGCCAGCGTTTGACTCTCTGTGCTCCCCTGCGATGCATTTACGAGGTACCAAAGCTGAGTGAGTGACCATGTGATTGTTACGTTACATATGCGACGACACTGATACATTCCCGCGTCGATACAAAGGCTTGATCATTGTGTTTTTTAAGCTTTGTATTATATTTTTATATAGTTTCGAATCGCCGCTGGGGGTGTGTACATAATTTGTTTAAATAAATCAATGAAATCGTTGTTGAAAAGTATGTGTTTCATATTTGAAGTGGAGCATCACGGAATAAGATGTACCTAAGTTATTGCATGACGTATGTGTGACTCATGTTTTACAATCATCATAAATTGCGTTGGGACGATGTTGTCACAACTTGCTTCTGATACTATTCACTTTATGATAAGATCAATAGTAATATATGGTTAACGTAGACAGCCAATTAAAAGTGTCTAGAATAAGATAGCATCTACAAAGATGTCTCCTGTCCAAATTGCTAAAAGTAAATCCTAATACATATTTTATAATAACGAGAGAAGTAAGATATATATAGTTTAACATCTGAAAGATTGTTTAGGTAGTAATGTGTACATTGAAAATGTTTCAAATGATGACATAATTCATAAGCGTCTCCTGACTGCCTTTGCCTCAGTGAAGATCTTGTAAGTAAAAAAAAGGATTGACAGTTATTCCCGCGCATTCTATTGTAAATCGCTTTATACGAATTTTATACTCACTACACCTCTTCAAATACCTCTGTAAAGTGCAGTACGGTTAGGTTACCCAGTGTTGTACTTTCGATTTCGGTTGACTGGCGTAAAATTAGGTTCACGACAAAGTATTGACAAAGAATTGGTTAATCTATACTTTTCCTGATCGTAATTAGAAAAGGAGTTATAGTGAGATTAAAATCAATAAGTATTACATTATTTACTTACTAAATGATAGCTTAAATTTTTAAAAATTATAATGTTAAAGATCTCATTATAATATAGATTTAAATATGTGTACTGTATTGTAAAAATATATCTTGAAAAAAGGAGCTAACCTTCATAGCGCGTCAGCATGTTCGTATTGACATAGACTATAAATCAATAGTTTCTGCAGTCACTTGTTTGTAGTTATAATAATACTTTGAATGTAGATAAAACATAGAGATAAAAGCTCAAGATTCTCTCAGTACGATTTATAAAGTTCAAATTAATAGGGTCAATGTATTATAGAATAATTTAATATCATAAATGTCTGTTGGGTACACAATGTGACTTCTACGTGGCCCCTGCATATTATTTTTCTATTTGTATCAAAACGGTTGAAATAAGTAACAAGAATATTTTCGAATTTTAAATCAAGAATTTGCGCACTTAACTGCCAATAAAAACAACATTCAGATACTGCATTTGTTTTTTTTTGTTATGCATTGTCATTGTTCATAGACAATAGGCGGATTAACTTAACAGATAGGTACTATAGACCTTATGTCGGTATCTACTGCCTCATGACGCGATCATAATGCGAAATGACCCTTTATTTACGTACAGAACATATTCAGAACGCAAATAATCTCTGTTATGGGAACAGAGATTATTTGCGTTCTGAATATGTTCTGTCTCATATTTCCATTTAGAACTAGAAAGGAACTCTTATAGTAAAAAAAAAGCTTACAAGTAAAAAAAAAATTATTCTGTGGCGCTACTTACGTTTTAACCAAGGACAAGAGCAACTTTTTAATTAAAATACATACTTCATGTATCACACACAGATATTTATAAACATTTGACTGTATAAAAGTTAGGTATTCAATTAATTGGTAATCGAAAATCGCGTCATGATAAATATAGGTATTTATTATTCCCAGGGCAATCTGTTCTTTATTAGATCAGTAGCTGACCCGCACAACCTCGTCTGCGTCTCTTGTAAGGAATAAATTTTCCCCGTTATTGCAATAGTTTTCATTGATATGTGCTAGCGTGAAATTATATAGTTCCTGAGATTTTTAATACTAATGTAGATTTTGATATTTCTGTTTCCTTCTGCATAGTCATCTTTCTTTTAGTTATGTAAGGACATATACAAATACCTGGTGTAATATTGTTATCCTATTATTCTTACCTGCTTGTTTTTTACCTAAAGGTTTATTGAGCCTAAGGCCCTAAATAATGCACCAAAAAACAAAAATCGTTCTAATTGAGAATCTTTCATTTTTTAGGAGATTAAAATAAAAAAAAGACACGATCTCACTATGAAACTTTAAAAGAGTTCTGTCAAATATAAAACGACTTCTCCAGTAATATATTGAATACTTTTGCGATTCTCCTTTCAACTATTATAACTGTAATGTAGCTAGAACCATAGACAATTAATAAAAGTTTCAACAAGCAATATCGAAGGCATTAAAACTTCGAACAGCCTATAAAAATGGAGGAACAGTGAAAGTTATTCGTCATTCTGTCAAGCGTATAATACTGAACTTGGCCGTATAAAGTATTATGTATATGTATATTACGGTGAGGTCACGGAAGGTCTAGTTTAGCCGCAATGTTTGACGCAAGGAATTCCCGCGATAACGCTACTTAAGTAAAGAGGCCGTAGTCCCTAGGAAAAGGCATTTTATTTTTACCAAGCTTTATCTCCTGTTCCAGCTTTACTTTTGGTACTTTCGAACTTTATGGAATGAATGGGATATGTATACATATAAAACTGAGTGTTGGCTTGTAGTCTATTCTAATTTGTACACGAAATCCGATCGTTAAGCCATGTAAACGGAATTTTATAAATTAGTCAGAATGATTTATGGTTCGATTAAAAATGTTTCTGTTCAACTCGAAGGGCTTGTTATTTTAAAAATATTTTAGTGGAATTTGAATCGTCAGCAATGTAAACGTAAACAATTTCTAATATGTTAAAGCACGTGGGCGGGTAGGTACCTTCTGTCGGTTCTTTTTTTGAGTTAATAACATAAATAATCGAGCTCTGTTTCAATGAGAGATAAAAGAAGGAACACAAGCTTTTAGAGTAAAAAAATATGATTTTCATTAATTTGAAAGAATATCGTGGCGGAGTGATGCAAAATCATTTTTTATTTGATAAATTCGCGGGCTTTGCTTCGTATCTACATTATACACTTTTCTAATAAAATCCCAAACAGTCACAAAATATTCGTCGCCTCACGTACACAAAGCTTGAATTTACCGAAATGATAAATTAAAATATAATAACTTTATACCTATATTTAAATACATACAAATAATGAATATTATCACAAATACATGTAAATAAAAAAATGCTCTAATGACTACACATACAAAAAAGATCCATTGCGTCAGTAACCAATTAGATGTCCGTTTGTGTCATAATATTAGCTACTCTATGATTTCGCTATATAATACGCTTTCATTCTACTCTTAAATTAATCAAAACAAAATCATCAGGTGCCAGATGTTCGTTTTTTTTTCTAATAGATTTTTATCGTCGTGAAATGAAAGCTTTCTTATAAAACAAAAGCTGATAAGCAGCTGTAGGATGATACTGCACTTAAAATATATGTTCTTTTAAATTGCTAGAAGTAAACAACTACAATTGAAGACTCAAATATAACACAATTGCTTTTAATGAATGTCTAAATTTCCTCATCTCTTGCACTCGAACTTATTTGTCAAGACGATTGTCTATGACACAAAATACCCGCCAAGAACGAAACGTTATTTAAAAACTAAACAAAGTAGTGAGATAATTGTACCAATCACCATGGAACATGCATGTCCTGTGCTAATTAATGTATTATTTAAACATCTCATGCTCATTACCATTGTTGTAATTAACTCCATTGAGTGTCGATTAAATACAAACATATGGACATAATGGCCCTTGTCGAAGTTGCTTTTCGAAAAAGATAATATTTGTTTTCTTCCTGTAATAATAAATAAAAAGAACAATTCCAGTAGTCGTTATACATGATTTAGACAAGGTTTCATTTAATTTCGTATTGAGGGTAGGATGAAAATTAATTAAATATATTTTAGAAACCGTTCTTGTAACTGGTGTTCAAAGGCTAATATGAATTAAATCTGAAAAAAAAATAAAAATAAACGTTTTTGGTTTTTAATAATATGTCACTCGACAAAATTAGAAAAATTGACCTTATAATTATTTAATAAGATCTCTAAATAAGATATTTTATTAATATTTATCCTAATTGAAATTCGTTTTGGAGCTTAAACATAATTAAGGTCGTCTAATAAATCGCCCAGAGCTTGACGCCTAATATATAGCTTTTAAGAAACTTATAATTTTCTTTCGAGTCTCTACTTTATCATGTCAGACAGAACTGATCTTAAAGTACATTAACAGGTTTAGTCAAACAGTGATTTAAAAGGACGATTTCACCAGGCAGTGGAATTTCCTCCGTTTTTAAGTCTTATTTCATTGACAAGAATATCTTGAACTCTTATTATACAGACTTTTGTACAATGGCAGGTCCAAATATATTCTGAACCCCCTAATATTTTACATAATTTCTAATTCTATATTATACACATATTGTTCAAAAATTCTTGCACTATTTGTACATTATAAACATTAATTATTCCAACTATGAAAGTCTTCCATGCGCCATATTTGTCTAAGAAGGCGTACAAAGAATTTACTTTACATATTTGTATATATATAGATTCGGTTTTTTTTTTTTTTTTAAATTGTGTGAATCTTGGGTAATTTGTACCAGTATTTCGTTTATTCAGGCATAACGCATCTTGCCAACATTATTTTGCCAGTTGCATGCCAAAAGTGCCTCCTACACAGCACTCGATACGCTACACGGCAATTATTACGTAATTGCACAAGATGGCGACCTTGATTTTTTCTTTGTTGAATTCACTTAGTCCGGTTATTTCATTGTTAAGTTTAAATTGCAAATTGTATTGGTGTGAAATAATTTATTATTTAAATAAGACTGACATTGTTGCACAAACATCTAAATATCGAAAGACATC